GGAACCGGCCGCGTGGTTCCTTGGGTAACATGTTTTTAGATGCACGATCAAGAGGATTTCTGGCGTGGAGCCATGACACGAAGCTTTACCAACTTGAGATTTGTACGATCGCTTGAAGAGGGTTTGTTCAAAGGAGAGTTCCCACGTTGATCGGGCTGTCATTCCTTTCGCAGGGAGGATCCTGGGAACATGCGAGATCATGATTTTGTGCGTACGCTCATGCGTGCGGGAGCGAGGTTAAACTTGAGCCACACAGTATGAGGCACTTGCTCTATCTTGATTAATTTCATCTGCATGGCGCTGAGAAGTTCATGTTTCTTGACTGACACGCATTGCTTAGGGATTAGGGATCATCCCTGCGGAAATACTTTTATTCATCATACTACGAGCGGATGAGATCAGTCACGAGGGCTTGTGATCGGACTCACGGAAGGCTGCGGCTACTCACGATTCCCATCTTGAGCCAGGATAATAATCACCAGATGTTGGGTTGCGCCCACTGCTTGTTTGAACAGTTCAAGTTGTGTTTTGCAAGCGCACATCCCGTCATCACTCCTAATACTTCAAAATGCAACTCGTGAAAGTGGATGGCACAATTCCCTTCCAGTCGGTACGGAAGGGAGATGCAACCAAAGTGGGTGAATTGCGCCAGCCACTTTCACCTGTCCGACCTCGTCCTCCTCCTTCGCAGGTCCGAGGGCGCAGGTGCAGATTGAGCTGCACCGGTCCCAGGTGGCGCGACAGCCCGTGGGCGCGGTCCAGGTGGGGTGGATGGGTGCGCGGTTCGGAGCAACATATGCGGATTCATCAGCGGCGCAGGGCTTGCGGATTTTCTGCTGAGCGTGATTTGTCAGTTGTCACTGACCCTCTGTGAATCAGTGGAGTATCGTGCTTTCCCAGGCTCTTCAGACTTTGCATAAGCAACTGCAACTATGAATCAGCGCTTGACTGCTGTTGATTTAGGGTGGGGGCATGCATGGGGTCCCCACCATTTTTGTTAAAAGTTGAGTGCCAAACTTTTCCTGACCCACATCGACATTTCCTCCAAAGTCCCTTAGCTCCGTGCAGCCCGCCTGATCCAGCAGGCAGACGTGCTGGATCTCCTGGAGGACGTTTTGAGGGCTGGCTCGACAAATGAAAATCAAACTGGAAATCGACACCTCCAGATGGTCGGGTTCATGTTGGGCTTCCTTTTGCAAGCGCTAGAAGGGTTCCGAGTTTCAACGGCCACATGAGCCTGCGTGGTGCTTTATGTCGCAGCTGTGCAAGCAGACTCTGGAAAGGGTCGACTCAGCTCAGAGTTCCCGGCTATCCAGAACCCTTTTTTGGGTTTCAATCAAAGGGTAGCCAACAGGGGTCCAGGAAAAAGAGAGACACCCAAGTGGCCGATCAGGCTAGGTGTTCCAACCAGTGTGGGTGCCCTATCCTTTGTTTCCTTTGCCAGCCGGCCGGGTGGCGACCAGGATCCTGAGAAGTACGGTCTGGTGAATCGCAACTTCAACCTCGTGGTGGGACGGGGGGCAGTCGGGACGAAAGCGTTTTGGGATAGGCTGGCCAAGCTGTTGCCTCTTTGAGGCCCTTCTGACGTAATTTTCACTCCTCTGGGATGTGCCAGTTGATGCAAGGATTTCGGCTGCGGCCGGGGAGTGTGACAAGAAGAGAAAATAAATAGCACGAGTCGAGAATTTCAAGGCAGATTCAAGCGGCTATGTTGCACACGAAACCGGGGATCGCTGTTTGCCTTGAATCAGAAGCCAACAAGGACATGGACCATGCGGAGGGTTCAACGGCTGCTCTCACCTTTTGTGACAATGTAAACAAGTTTCCTTTGGGTGGGGTGATGTACAAAGACGGCATACAACGAATCAACGATCCCTGACAACCTGCTCGCGGCCAGCTCGTCTCTCCGAACTTCAATGAGATCTCCTACCGCCAGCTGTGCACTGCCCGGGCCCCGGGTGCACGCCGCAGATCCAGTTGTCCGTTGGGCATAGCGCAAAACGAGGAGCATCCTTTCGACGGCTTTTCAAGACTGAAATGATGGACAGAAACCATTCGGAGGGCCCCGCGATTCTGAGCCAAGCAAACTGTTGCCCTCGTTGGCCGTGCAGGAAGTTGTTTTGCGGGCCCTCCTGGCGGACTTACCCGGCTCATTCTCAAAACAGGATTCGGTATTGTCCTCTTGGTTTCCATTGAAAAATCCCAAGCAAAAGAGGGATCGTCCATTTTGACAAGCTCCTCATCCGAGAGTCTGGCGCTTCCCGAGGCTTTGGCCAAGTCGGATCTCATCGAGCGCGATGGCCTGGTGTGCATCGAGTACCCTCGGGAGCTAGGCAGCGCCCGAACCTTCACTGGCCATTAGTAGGGAATTCTATTACAGGAGGTTTTTTTTTGGGGTGGTGAAGCCATGAATGTGAATGTGGAACGTCCTCAATGGATGGCCCCACCAAAGGGTCCCTAACCATTCAGATTCATACCGATGGGTTGAGCCAGAGCTGGTGCATCCCCTTGTCATCGGAGGAGATTCTCAGACCTGGAGTCCATCTAGGTTTGTCTCTACTAAATATTAAATGGCGACCTGCAAAAGGTGTGTTTCCCTATGGTTTGCCTTGAAACCACCTTCCAAAAAGGGGTACCCTCAAACGAAAGTGCCTCCTTTTCTTGACCCCGCCCGTCAGGCGTTCTGCCCCCCATCCTGTGCGCACCATTTGACGATCCCGATGACTATGACTTTGACGACATCGCGGCGGGCGTTCCAGTTCTACACGGCCTCAGGCGCAGCTTTGCGCCATGCTTTTATGAGTTTGTCTAGCTCCCTCTCTCTCTCTCTCAGTGTGTTTCTGTGTGCGTTGTGTTTGTGTTTGTGTTGGTGTTTGTGTTTGTGTTGGTGGTCATGCGTGTGCCTTTCCATGGAGTTGTATACGTAGTCTTGCTTGGGGGATTGCTGGAAGCTTTGGACAAGGTGACTGTGTAAAATCGCGGCTTTGATTCGCGTCCGTCCAGGAACCGCGAGTATGGCAGCGGCATGCTGGAACCTCGGACCCATTCGCTTTGTATCAGCATTGGAGCATGCAGCTGGCGCCTGTAAAATTGTCACTTTCGTTGCCCAAGGCTGGCAGTGTACTGCAAGCTGCCCACTGGCGTGCGGCTGCCCATGTCGAGCGAGTGAATCCAACTGTGAGGATTCCCTAGCACAGGCTTTGCCGCAAAATGGTCGTGCTCGTTTGTTGCGCCCTTTAATGGCGGTGCAAAATGAGACCAGGGTTCTTGAAAGGGACGGTCCCTCTAAGGGACCCTATTTGTGACAACCCCGCCAAGTGAGGCCACCATCTCAGTTGGCTTGGCCGCTTTCCCCCGAGGCCCGGGGCCGCGCTGGAGAGCCGCGACCCTGGGAGTTCACCGAGACGCTGATGCAGTCCAAGCTGCGGCAGAGGCGGGGTGCAAGGCGGAGACCCTTTGATTTTATGACTTGAAGCCTTTCAACCATCCCTTGTTTCCTTTAAGGGGATCCTAGGTTCATTCCCAACACCCCTGTTGATTCGCTGCTGAGAACCAGAGATTCGAGACACGCATATATATATATATACACACACATATATATATATATATTTTAGATAAGGGGCCTCTCCAACTGGTTTGCTTCCCCCCCCAACAAACAAAGTATCCTCAAAAAAGGACACCCTCTCAACTTGGGGGGGCTATGTTTTCCCTCAAGGTGGTTGAAAGACACACCCATCTTGCGGTTGGGGTCCTTTAGTAAGTGTTGTTGGCATGGCTGGTCATGAACCCCAGAAAAGAGGAAGTTGGACGATCATATGTTGTCAGCGGCAAGATGCTGCCAAGTTCCATTGCCTGATGCCTGCCACAGGCAAGTCATTGAAGCATTGCTACCCCTTCATGCATATCTTTGCGTTCACTGCGATCAGTTGGGGACTGTCACTTTGTCCTTTTGCCCGTTTGAGTTCTTGAGTTCCCTCTGCAAGAAAAGGACCCTGAAAGGAAGCGCTCCACTTGGAGGTCAATTGCGCCAGTTTCTCCGTGCCTTCGAAAGCGAATGCGCCAGGAGCCGTGATTTGTGGCGCACGCCCAGCATCTTCGCAGACCACGGAGAGCGGGGCTTCGCAGTTCCCAAGGAGGCGCGGAGCCGAGGGAGCCAAGGGAGAGGGCTCGTGGTGATGGAGTGGGCTTTTCTTAGGGGTGTGACTATCCAGTGCAGGGATTGAAGAGGCGAAACCGCTGGATTCGTTGGTTAGTTTCTTCATCCCAGTTGCCCAGTGGCGCCCTTTTCTCCTTTTTTTTGGCCTTTGCCTGTTTTGGCTAATGCATGTTGACCACATGCTCCTGCCAGATGGGTTTAATTCATGCTTTGCCCTTCCCCTGAGCGGGACGGCCTGATTTTTGGCTTTGGCCGGGATGTGGGCTTCACTCACTCCAATTGGGTGGGTGGGGTCTTGAGCAATGTGACGAAACCAACCAAAAAAGGATGCCCCCAATGGCCACTGGGCATCTGAGTCATGTTTTCGAGCAAAGACCCCAACATTGTCGTGCTTCACCTCGCGCAGGCGCCGGCATTGAACGAGTGAGACGTGGCAGCCGGCCGGCGATCGGCGGGCTTGTTTCACAGCAGGTCTACCCTTCCTTCGTGGCAGAGGGGGGAAGTCAGGGCGATCTTGCAAAGGCCCTGCAACATGTCAGCGACCACCCGGCCTTGTCATGGTTTCAAGAAGGGTGGGGCACACCTGTTTCTCTCAAGCTATCAAGCTAGCAGTGGAGTCGGAGGCAAAGGACGCCGGCTTGTGGAGGGGCGTCCAGAGTGCGTGTAAATGGAGTGGCACTTTGGGCAACCGTCAGCTGTCTGGACAGCGTGCCCGCGTTGAGTGGGGGCGTGGTTCCCTTTTCAGGTTGGTTTAAAGGTAAGCCAAAAGGAAAGCCACCATTTTTACAGGGGTCCCCTTTTGACACATGGTGGGGACTTCCATGGAATCTGAGTCTTCTGGCAGGGCCATCGAGCTCTATCTCCGGGGCGGCATGGCCGCCAAGGCGCTGTCCTTCGCAGAGAGCCACGAGATGCCATGGGCCAACACACCATTTGCCACGAAGCATTCTCAGTGTTGGTGACTACTGGAAGCTGCATTCGAGCTTTGCAAGCACCGTTGGGTTCCTCCTGCTGCAGCCTTTAGATGAAGGCACTTCGTTGTAGGCTGGATGCTTGTTGCCAGCCCAGCACCTTACGAGCCAAGCAGCAGCAACAAACCGAAGTTCAAGGCCAGCCTTGAAGCATATGTTAAACATGTCTCAACGGACATCCCGACACGCCCATGTTGAATGCTGGCTTATCTAAATCTCAAGCTCCCTGTGGTTGGTATTTAAATTTGTTGTTTCACGTTGGAGCTAGACTCCCAAATTGCGTGAAACCGACCCATGTGTTACAATGCGTTTCACGCCCCTTCGGTATTTGAGCCAAGCTTACTCGAACCGATGATTTATAATGATCAGACACCAAATGGTGTGTTTGATGAGAACCAGCATATACGCAAAGGCCTTGTTCTCACAAAGAACGGGATGTCCTAAAGCCGGATTAATCAACCAATTTGGTGGATTATCAAGGGGGTGTTGTTCGCAAAATCCAGGGAAGGTCTCCCTCTCAAACGCGAAGCCCCTTGTGTCAATCAACCGGGATTTATTATTCCTGAGTTCCCATTAAAACCTGTAGTAGTTGAACCTGTTGTTGAACCCAAAACCAAAAACGGCTTCAAACCGGATGTCCCAAAGTACCCGACCCTCCCCACTCCGCGGGCGTGTTGTGTCAGGCCGCAGCGGTGGTGCAGCGTCACAACGCCAACTACTCGCAGGCAGGGGCCGCCTCGTGGCCTGGACATGGACATGGACAGAGATGTTGGCTTTAGGAGAGGAGTCTTCCGTACTCTTCTTGTGCAGGGAGGGTGAACAAGACCATAGACCTCTTCGGGAAGCCACACCAAGCCCAAGCCTGGCCACTGGCTCAAGTGGGTCGAGACTCAAGCGTGTCAAGACATTTGAAGCAATGTCGATGCTCACCGGCCTCCTGGGACTTTGGATGCTGGGGTGCCGTGCGCAGAACGTGGATTCCAGTGTCTTGGTCTTCCGACACTGCCCGAGAGCCACGGAGACAACACTCTTGGGCAGGGCTTACAACAACTTCTCCCAGCAGTCATGGCCTGACTTTCCCGTCGCACCGATGCTTTGCCTTCCTAGAGGCCTCGACATCCTGCAAGCGCAAGGACGTTTCCTGAAGGCAAGTCTGCCAGAACCAATCCGTGTGGTGGCAGATGATGTTCAGCGAGACAATGAGACAGCACATGCTTTGATGGAGGGATTGGGTTTGCCCAGCGACGTCTTGACTGTGAACCATGCTCCCTTCAGCAAGTCGGATGGATGTCCTTCCTTGCCTGAGGACCAGGCATTGAAGGCTTTGGAGGAACAGATCCAACGCTTCCCGAACCCTTCCAGCTACACGAATTTGTCTCAGCAGCTTTGGGAGGTCTTGGGAGATGGCTCAGCAGGATATTGGCCAGACTGGCCGTGCCAAGCAGACTACGCGAACCAAGAGGCCCGGCTCAATGGCTCCTGCATGGTGACGAGTGAGATCATGGAACGTTTCTTCATGGAATGGGCAGGTGGTATGGACTTGGCCTGGTCGAAACTCAGCCCTTGCCAACTTCCCTCACTCATGCAGCTCCATGACTGGGAGAGGACGGCCGCCAATGCCGTGCCTGAGCTGGTGGCACGAGATCAGGCCTCGATCCCCTACTGGGTGCTGAATGCCTTGGAGCAGCAGGGCACCCAACTCTTCGCGGGCCACGACACCACGCTCAACGCCCTGCAGTCCATTTTCGAGCTCTACTACACGCCCACGCCTTGGCCTCCACAGGCCACCATGCCGGCCTCCGCCCTGCGCTTCGACCGCAGAGGTCATGAGGTCACCATCACCTACCTCTACGTGGACTATGCCGAGGCCAGCGGAGCCATGATCCAGGTGCCGGTGACGGTTCCGGGGAACCACTTCGGGAAGGTCGAGGTGAGGCATTTGTGGCGCAGGGCAAAAAGAGGCACGGTGAGAGAATGCGTGAATATGCCCATGGAGGTTCATGTCTGAAGGATGCTGAGGCGGTCCCAAGCCGTCCCAAGCCCATGTACAGAGAGGGCTCCAAGCCATCCCGAGCCCATGTACAGCGAGGGCTCCCAGCCTATATATGAACAGTGAGTGATGTACAGCGGATCCAAGTGGATCCACTTGTGATGTCTTAGATGTTTTGTTTGACATTGGCCGGACGCCTTGCGAGTTTCGCTTTGGACGCAGCGATTCCAGGCTAGGAAAGTCAATAAAAACTAAGCTCGAGCCTGAACCCGGTCTGGCTGAACTTTTGGGGGACTTGCAGCGCTTCTTTTTTTGGAGAGGGCACCCCCCCCTTTTCAGCGTCTTGCCCCGCCCTGCCGGGTGCCAGCTTGCTGTGAGCCACAAACAAACCGTCACAACGCCAACTACTCGCAGGCAGGGGCCGCCTCGTGGCCTGGACATGGACATGGACAGAGATGTTGGCTTTAGGAGAGGAGTCTTCCGTACTCTTCTTGTGCAGGGAGGGTGAACAAGACCATAGACCTCTTCGGGAAGCCACACCAAGCCCAAGCCTGGCCACTGGCTCAAGTGGGTCGAGACTCAAGCGTGTCAAGACATTTGAAGCAATGTCGATGCTCACCGGCCTCCTGGGACTTTGGATGCTGGGGTGCCGTGCGCAGAACGTGGATTCCAGTGTCTTGGTCTTCCGACACTGCCCGAGAGCCACGGAGACAACACTCTTGGGCAGGGCTTACAACAACTTCTCCCAGCAGTCATGGCCTGACTTTCCCGTCGCACCGATGCTTTGCCTTCCTAGAGGCCTCGACATCCTGCAAGCGCAAGGACGTTTCCTGAAGGCAAGTCTGCCAGAACCAATCCGTGTGGTGGCAGATGATGTTCAGCGAGACAATGAGACAGCACATGCTTTGATGGAGGGATTGGGTTTGCCCAGCGACGTCTTGACTGTGAACCATGCTCCCTTCAGCAAGTCGGATGGATGTCCTTCCTTGCCTGAGGACCAGGCATTGAAGGCTTTGGAGGAACAGATCCAACGCTTCCCGGACCCTTCCAGCTACACGAATTTGTCTCAGCAGCTTTGGGAGGTCTTGGGAGATGGCTCAGCAGGATATTGGCCAGACTGGCCGTGCCAAGCAGACTACGCGAACCAAGAGGCCCGGCTCAATGGCTCCTGCATGGTGACGAGTGAGATCATGGAACGTTTCTTCATGGAATGGGCAGGTGGTATGGACTTGGCCTGGTCGAAACTCAGCCCTTGCCAACTTCCCTCACTCATGCAGCTCCATGACTGGGAGAGGACGGCCGCCAATGCCGTGCCTGAGCTGGTGGCACGAGATCAGGCCTCGATCCCCTACTGGGTGCTGAATGCCTTGGAGCAGCAGGGCACCCAACTCTTCGCGGGCCACGACACCACGCTCAACGCCCTGCAGTCCATTTTCGAGCTCTACTACACGCCCACGCCTTGGCCTCCACAGGCCACCATGCCGGCCTCCGCCCTGCGCTTCGACCGCAGAGGTCATGAGGTCACCATCACCTACCTCTACGTGGACTATGCCGAGGCCAGCGGAGCCATGATCCAGGTGCCGGTGACGGTTCCGGGGAACCACTTCGGGAAGGTCGAGGTGAGGCATTTGTGGCGCAGGGCAAAAAGAGGCACGGTGAGAGAATGCGTGAATATGCCCATGGAGGTTCATGTCTGAAGGATGCTGAGGCGGTCCCAAGCCGTCCCAAGCCCATGTACAGAGAGGGCTCCAAGCCATCCCGAGCCCATGTACAGCGAGGGCTCCCAGCCTATATATGAACAGTGAGTGATGTACAGCGGATCCAAGTGGATCCACTTGTGATGTCTTAGATGTTTTGTTTGACATTGGCCGGACGCCTTGCGAGTTTCGCTTTGGACGCAGCGATTCCAGGCTAGGAAAGTCAATAAAAACTAAGCTCGAGCCTGAACCCGGTCTGGCTGAACTTTTGGGGGACTTGCAGCGCTTCTTTTTTTGGAGAGGGCACCCCCCCCTTTTCAGCGTCTTGCCCCGCCCTGCCGGGTGCCAGCTTGCTGTGAGCCACAAACAAACTGAAGAGGGCTCGTGCGCTTGGGAAGATCTTTGGCTTGCTCTCGTTCGCTTTTTCTTTGCGAGAGTGGGAGAATTTGGACGGACAGGAACTCTTGCAGAAGATCGTGGCAGGACTGCAGGCACGTCGGTCTTGCAGCTCTCACTCGGTTTTCTTCTGCCGGCCAGCCCTGCTTTCCGAAAGCAGCACGCGTCCTTTGAAATGTTGCGAGCAATGTGTTGGAGGGAGCTCCCTTTGCCACTTCTCACGGACAGCACTGTTAGGAAGATATTTCCCACTTGGTTGCCTGCAGATCTTAGAGACTTTTCAGTGGGCCGCTATTGGATCAACAAGCTGGTCTTTACATGTGCAAGTCACTGGAAGATACTGTCCAAACTGGTCAAACAGCCAGCTCCCATGGATGTTGGGTGATTTGTCAATACTTCCACTCTTCGAAACACACACAAGCACTCACACCCACACACACACACCAACACCACCAAAACACAACCACAGTTCAACTACAAACACAACACAACACAACACAACACAACACAACACAAACACAAACAAGCAAGCAAGCAAGCAAGCAAGCAAGCAAGCAAGCAAGCAAGCAAGCAAGCAAGCAAGCAAGCAAGCAAGCAAGCAAGCAAGCAAGCAAGCAAGCAAGCAAGCAAGCAAGCAAGCAAGCAAACACAAACACACAAACACACCACCACACCAACACACAAGCACACAAACACAAACACACAAACACACCACCACACCAACACAGAAGCAAAGAAACAAAGAAACAAAGAAACAAAGAAACAAGCAAGCAAGCAAACAAACAAACACACAACCAAACAAACAAACAAACAAGCAAGCAAACAAATAAACAAACAAAGACAACAAACAGAACAAAGCAAAACAAAACAATACAAACCAACCAACAAACAAACAAACAAACAAGCAAGCAAGCAAGCAAGCAAACAACAAACAAACAAACAAACAAACAAACAAACAAACAAACAAACAAACAAACAAACAAACAAACAAACAAACAAACAAACAAACACATACACACATACACACATACACACAAACACACAAACACACAAACACACAAACACACAAACACACAAACAAAGAAGCAAAGAAGCAAAGACGCAAAGAAGCAAGCAAACAAGCAAACAAGCAAACAAAGAAACAAAGAAACACACAAACAACACCAATGACACACACACACACACCACACACAGCACACGCACACACACACACAACACACAGCACAAACGACACACACACACACACACAACACAGCCACCACACACACACACACACACGCACAATCACAACTACAGCCATACATAAAGCACAAACACCACAAACACCACAAACACCACAAGCACCACAAACACCACAAACACCACAAACACCACAAACGCCACAAACGCCACACACACACACCACACACACACCACACACACACAAACACACACACACACACACACACACACACACACACACACACACACACACACACACACACACACACACACACACACACACACACACACACACACACACACACACACACACACACACACACACACACACACACACACACACACACACACACACACACACACACACACACACACACACACACACACACACACACACACACACACACACACACACACACACACACACACACACACACACACACACACACACACACACACACACACACACACACACACACACACACACACACACACACACACACACACACACACACACACACACACACACACACACACACACACACACACACACACACACACACACGCCACAAACGCCACAAACGCCACAAACGCCACAAACGCCACAAACGCCACAAACGCCACACACACACACACCACACACGCCACACACGCCACAAACGCCACAAACACCACAAACACCACAAACACCACAAACACCACAAAAAACGCCACACACACCACACACACCACACACACCACAAACGCCACAAACGCCACAAACGCCACAAACGCCACACACACACCACACACACCACACACGCCACAAACCACAAACACCACAAACACAAACACCACAAACAGCACAAGCACAAACACACATACAACCACAAACACAGCCACACACATGAACACACTCACGCACCCACACTCACAGTCACACTCACACACAGACACAACTCGGGAATCGTCAGCATAGCGGGGGCGGTTGGGATAATTGGCACACTCTGTCAACTTGTGCTCCTTTGGGACGGCTTTCGCGGCGCATGATAGGTACATTGCACAATCTCCCATTTTGGCTTCATCATTCACACTTGGTGACAGAAAAGGGAGTGGTGCTGTTAAATTGTGCCATCTCTTTTCCTGGTGCACCAATAAAACATTTGCCCTCCAGGCCTAGAGAGGGGTGACTTGAGGCCAGTGGCATGCATGACCGCGCCGGCGCGTTGTACGAGCGCATGGGCCTCATCCAGCCGGCCATGGACGCGTACCGCCGTGGCCACGCCTACCGCCAGGCAGGGGAAGAGTGAGCTGAGCGGGGTGAGTGTAAACAAGTTTGGGAAGCTGGGCACTGCCTTGATCACATCCGCGACATTTGTGCCCTCGTGATAGTGGAAAAGCGCATCAAGTGTCCGTTGTAGCTGGTCATAGTTCATGTTGTGTTTTGTTCCGAACCTGACTGTTTCGATAGGCAGGGAATGAGCATGTGACTTTTTGCTGGCAATCGCTTTGTGAAAATGGTTTTGTTCCTCCTCATGACATGGGAGCCAGCAATACCCGCAAGAGGACTTCCTCCTCTTCGCGCAGGGGAGCTTCCACTGCCTGAGGGATGGAGGGGTTAAATCCTAGGCTTGAACGTGTCCTTTGACCTTTCAGGGTGATGGTTTTGGCCAGCTGCTGCAAGCTTCTGGTTTTGGCCAGGGTTTTATAAAGCCCACTGGACTAGTTGGACTTATTGGCCGCAACTGTATTTGGCAAGACCCGGCCCTCCCCCCCAACAACGGTTGGCCTGTCATTGTTTCCAAGTGAACCGCCCGCTTTTTTTTTGCGGGAAATTGAGCATCTCGTATTGGATTCTGACGGGTGGAAGCGGGAAGCCTCGAGTCGCAGGCCATAGAGCTGGCGAAGCACTCCCAGCCCGGGCTGGTGGCCCGGAGACCCGGAGACCCGGAGCCCCGGCCCCTGGCCCCGGGCGGTTTACGAGTTTACGGGGCCCAGACAATCTGTTGACTTGGCGACTTGGCGAGGGAGCTTTTCAAAAGTTGGCAGTTTTAGTCATGGAAGTGACATGTTCAGGACTTTCTCTGGCCAGTCAACTCAGGTTAGTGAGGTCAATGTGTGTGTGTGTGTGAACAGTCTGGTAAGCGTCAGGTTGCCCTGGAGGAGGAGTGGGGCGACTGGCTCGTGTCGCAGCGGCAGGCAGGTAGTTGTGCGGCTGAATGCGGGGGACATGTCTTCGAGAGGCACAGTGTTTGTGTGTCTGGTTGCGACAAGGTGAGTAAAATATGGTGGGTGAATGCCTTTTTCAATGCCAGGTGGATGCTGCCATCAACCACTACATCGAGGCCGCTGAAGGAAGCAACTGTGTGCATTCAGCTGTTTCGGACATTCCCCGATCAACCCAGCGGCACGCATTCGAGGATCTGGGGAGTCCGATGGATATTGTCCAGATAGGTCAGATGTTAAAAAAAGCCATTGAATGCCATGTCGTTGTGAGTTCCATTGCCATATGTGTTCAAACCTGGAATTTTTAGCCATTGACTGGAGTTGATGGTCAAAGACTCTCCCCTTAGAAGTATTGCGTTTGACACATCTAGGTCTTATGATTCCGGCAGTAAAGCTGAAGGCATTCAGGCGTGCACTTGCCTCAGGCAGGCAACGCCATGAAGGCCATCGATGCTGCAATGCTCCTCGCCTAAAAGGGTACTTGTCCTGGGCGGGGAACGGGCAAGTCGAAGGGGTTGCGAGCGAGAGCTATATGGAGTGATGGCTGCATACAAGCCTTACTCTTCCATGCTTCTTGAATAAAAGCATGGAAGCACGCCTCGCCCCCCGCGCCTTTTCAGATCAGATGTTTCTGGTTTCAAGGATTCGGTTTTTGCTTGCTGCCTCATACAGGGCTGCGGGTTTGCCTTGGTTGCAACATGGCCTCGTGCCCACCCACTCCGGGGTCTTGTCTGGATGTTAGGTTTGGTCAAACTATCTGGTATTCCATGGTCTGTTTGAGAGGGACGTGGGTCTCACCAAAAACCAGCGGACTCCGCAATTTTGGAATGTCCAAAAACCGGGGACGCCGTCAGTTGCAGGACTGCCCGGCAATGGCACAAGGCCGAGACTTTGCTGGACCAGGCCGGAACGCGGTGAGGGGAGGGCGGCGAGGTGATGGCCCTGCCCCTTGCGTAACGGTGGGGTGAAACTTCGATTCCTCTAGGTGCTATTGTGCTCATCTTGTAACGGGATCCTAGCCAAACAAGAGGCCTTTGTCTTGGATGTTAAACAAGCCATCCCAGGCATCTATGGGTGCGGACCAGAGCTTTGCCCTGCCCTTCTACGAGAAGCTGGCTAGCCATTACGGGCAGTCACGCCAGCCGGGGCCTTTCCGGATTGGGGCTGCAGACGTGGGGCGGGTAAGGGGGTGGTGGGGGGGCGAGTGAGGGAGAGGCAGAAGGGCCCTCGTGTTCTAAAGCTGTGTGCATTGGATAGAACACATCGTCTTCCTTGATTTGGGAGGCTCGTTTTCGGCTTTGGAGAAGGATGTGAAGAAGCGACCACGAGAACCCAACGAATTCGAGGGCCCCCAAGCTTTCAATAGGCAAGATGCACATCCTTGCCACCCCGACGTCGTATCACGGCACCCTCAGCCACTTATCCTGGGCTTATCTTAGGCCTGTCACTTTTGCAAGGGTTCTTCGTATTCTTGCTGGAAGGATCTACATGTAGCAGCGTCTCGCAACTGGTGCAATGTTTGGCTTTGAAATGCCATCATTTGCGTTTTGGGTCCGACCTGAGGTTTGAACAGGCGGAGCGGGCCTTCATCAAGTCCGGGCGGCCGCAGCGGGCGGCCGCAGCCCTAGCATCCGACAGGAGCAGAAGGACGAGGAGGCAAAACCTCTTGGCCTTGGCACACGAGGTGTAGCATGGGGTTGGAGTTTGCGGGGGTCAATGCAATTTACTCTGCCAGTCTATGAATTCGCCGAAAAGCATTCTAGGCCTAGCCAGCACTTTGCAGCTGTTTGCCGCTGGTTTATGCATAACTTGCTGATGGACACATGGCTGTACCCCAGAGCAAGGCCCTACCCAAAACATGTGATGTGTCCAAGCCACTGACTTATGCTTGGTTGATACATGCTTCTCTGTTTGCAAAGGCGGCTTGCTGCCTGCAAGTGTTCCAGAATTCATCCAACTAGAGTGCGCCAGACCCGTCTTGGCTTGCAGCATTCGCAGAGCGCCATCCGCAGATTGCCGCAGAATGTTGCATGCATTTTCATCGGCCCTCCACAAGCACTGGCCCTTGGTGCCTGGCTGCAGGTAGTCGAGATTCCGGCCCACAAAAGCTGAATGGCCGGAACGAGGTCATCACCGCGCTCAACAAGGCCAAGCAGTGGCAGCGCGCGCTGGATGCGTTCGAGGGCATTTTCCGGGCAGCCCTGCGGCCGTCTGTCATCAGCTACACAGCGGGCATCAGCGCTTGCGAGAAGGGCAGCCAATGGGAGCATGGTTTGCATTTGTTGCAGTCCATGCAGCAGCTTGGGGTGGAAGCAAACGTCATCAGCTACAGTGTCGCCATCAGCTGTTGCGCAAAGGGCGGGCAGTTGCAGCCTGTTTTGTTGCTGCTGGATGTGATGCAAGATGCCCAAGTTCAACCCAATCTCATCACTTTAAACGCAGCAACCAGCTCGTGCCAAGAAGCTGGAGCGTGGCAACAGGCCTTGTTTTTACTGCAGTCGATTCATCGAGCGAAGTTTCAGCCAGATGTCATCAGCTACAGCTCGAGCATCAGCGCGTGCGAGAAGTGTGGCCAATGGCAACAGGCCTTGGCCTTGTTGGAGGACATGCACGGGGTCAGGGCGCAAGCGAATGTCATCAGCTACAGTGCGGCTATCAGCTGCTGTGCAAAGGCTGGGCAGTGGCGACCGGCATTGCGGCTTCTGACGACGATACACCAAGCTGAAATTCGTCCCAACACTGTGAGCTACAATTCGGCCATCAGCTCGTGCGAGGAGTGTGGACACTGGCAAATCGCTTTATTTCTCTTACAGAGAATGCCCGAAGTGAAAGCGCTGCCGGACATTGTCAGCTTCAATGCCGCCATTAGCTCGTGCACGATTGCCGGGCAATGGCAGCAAGCTTTGCAATTGCTCTTGGCCAGCTCGCGGGCCAGGCTTCAGCATGACCTCATCAGCTTCAACACTGCCATCAGCTCGTGCCAGACTGGAGGGCACTGGCAGCTGGCATTGCAGTTGCTGGCAAGTTGCCGGGCTGAGATGCACCCGGATGACGACAGCTACAGAAATGTCATCAGCTCCTGTACCAATGGCTTGAGGTGGCAGGAAGCGCTGCGCATTTATGAGGTAGCAGAGGTGCCAGCAAGCTACAGCACGGTCATCGGCCTTCACCTACAGGTAAGCCAGTGGCAGCTCTTTGTGAGCCTGCTTCCGGAAAAGGGATTGCTGTCAGGTAGAGCCTCTAAGTCCCGATGTGCATGGCAGAGCATTAAACTCTCCGCCCGAGGGAGGGCAGGAAGGTAGGAAAGACACACCAGCAGCCCTAGTCACCCAGTAGGTCCATTGCAGGATTCTGCTGCAGTAGGGCGAGCTCAAAGTTCCTCTGGCTCTTGCCGGCCTTTTGCTCTCAGGTCCAGATGTACGTGGAGCATGCGCAGTGCCCTGCAGAAATCGGGCCCCGGAGCCACATGCCACGTGCCGCGTTTTAGTAGGACACCACCTCAAATGTGGTTGGTGGACATGAATCCCCGCCTCAAACGATGTCCACCAAAGGATCCAAGACCCATTGAATTCACCATATGCCGCATTGCCTGGAGTTAGGTGGCCTCTCCAGTGGCCGTACCTTTGGTTTCCAGATCCAAGAGCGGAAGTCGGGTGGAAAGGACGAATTAGCCTTGATAGGGCACCGTTGGAGTGTGCATCCAAGGAAGTAAAAGTCCTGGGTCAGCCACCCCCTCGTGCTGAACAACTCCCAGCCCCAATAAGACTCCCCCCCCCTCCTGGGAGAGGCTGCACTCAGACCAAAGCTGACTTTCTGACCATGTGGCTTACCGGCCTTGATGAATGTTCAGAGGTGCTAAAGCAAAGTAGCTGGCCAAGCAGCCAAACGCCCGGCAATACCTTTAGCATCTCTGAACATTCATCAAGGCCGGTAAGCCACATGGTCAGAAAGTCAGCTTTGGTCTGAGTGCAACCTTTGTCCTGGGGCAATCACAGTCAGAAGCTGGGGTCAGTTTCTCTTCTGCAGCTCTAAAGGGGTGACTTGAATTTTAACCTGCAACACTCTTAAACATGTAGGTGGACAATCACCGCCAAAGAGTCCCAACCATCTTAAGCATCATACCCCCCACCCCCGCCACAGTTTTTCTTGCAACTCCCGGCTGGGTGAGCAGTTTTGGGCTCCCGGCCTGGGCTTTGAGCTCTGCCGGCTCCCGGCTCCCGGCTCCCGGCTCCCGGGCGAGGTACGAGAAGGCCCACCGCGTGGCTAAGGGGCAGCTCTCCCCGGCAGAGAGGACGGAGCTCTACATCCACCTTGCCCAGGTCTCTCGGCACCCGTCTCTCCATACACGCGCGGTTGGTTTGGTTTGGTTTGGTTTGGTTGTGCGTTTTTTTTGGTCTTATTTGTTTTCTTCTTTTTTCTTCTTCTGATTGTTTGTCTGTGTGACGGATAGGTTGAGACTGAAACGGCACTTGCTGAAGGTCTGCCACAGGATCCCGCAAAGGCCTTTATATATATATATATATATCTACATATTTATATGTGTGATCAGAAGTTCACTGGTCAGAAGTTGATCCAGCCCCGGATAGCCAAGACTGCCAAAACTGTGACTTTTTAGCTGTTGACCCAGAGCCGGCAAAGTTGCAAGCCATTCACGCGGTGCTATGAAAATCCTCAGTCGGTTGCGTCATGGTATGAGGTGTTCCAGGCTAGAAGTAAATCCGCTGGCACCCCCTTCTCGTGTTTGTAGGTCCCCCAAAATGGCTGGTGTTTTCCTTTTGGTTCCCCTACAACTAGCAACCAAAAGGGGGGGTTCAGCATTTCCCACTCGCAGGTGCTGGAACAACAGGTGAAGCTCAGCGAGGCGGGCGGGTCTGTTTGCCTGCTTAGAATGTAAGACGGTGTTGAGAGATTCCCACACCGGGTGGGGGGGGTACCTCCCTGTCCACTTAGGTTCGCCTGGACAGCGGGTGCCGTTTTTGGGGGTTGTTTTACGTGGGCAACCCTCCGGTTCATGATTAATTGGGCAGGGGCAAGGGCTTGTGGACTTGCTTGATTTGTCCAGAAGCCCAGGAAGAGTCTTTCTCTTTGCTTCGGGTAACAGAAACCAATGGAGCTCATGTGAACCCCCGCCAAATCACAATGTCCTTCTTGCAAGGATGGGCGTTGGTGCCCTTGAATGGGATACGGGGGCCAATCAAATGGCCTTCTCAATGATTTGGACAACGTCTCAACGTGTTTGGAGGCCGCAACAAACACAAAACACACGAGACAGTAACCACTGGGAGAATCTGCACCACTTTGCAAGGGGGCCTAGGGTGGCCCTGAAAGGGGCGCGGTGATAAGCATCTTGCCAGCTTGCCGCCAAAGAGCTTCTGCGGGACCCGAATGGCCCCTCCTTTGGGAAGATCACGTTCCTTTTGAAGGTGAGCCCATTAAGGGTAGAAAAGGTGAATGAGTGAATGTTGCAGCTCCGCATGGTTCATACTGGAATGCAAGGTTGGCTGCCACTGGCGAGAGATGGAGGCATGCGGCATGCAGTTCTTGCAGCTTGACAGCTTGGACAGGCTGAGCAGATGTACCTCGCGGTGAATGAGTTCGATCTAGCCATCAATATGTGCCATGTCGCCGCTGGGTTGTTTGCTTGTTCATGGAGTTTTGACGTTGTCACACCCCTTCCTGATAGAACAGGCTGGGTGAAGATGAGTGATGGTGCTGGAACAGCTTAGGAGGAAAGGCCGAAGGGATGACTTGGTGCATCCAATTCGAGCAGCGGACACTGTGAGATTTAGCTGCTGCATTGCTTCGCTGAGCCGTTATGCGATTCGTCAGAATGCCCGGGTGACACGGGGTTCAAACGTACAGGTTTTAGGCAGAGCCTAGAAATTTACCTTAGATCTCGCTGGCCATTGCAGGTACAAGAAGAGGGAGGAGTATGAGCAGATGCTGCGATTAGTATCCAAGTACCGCAAGGAGACTGGCCTAAAACCCCTGAACTACGCAGGCCAAACAATTGTTTGACTCTTTTTTTGCGTTTATGCATGGGGAGGGGGGGGGAGCAGCGCATGATTCCAACAATATATACTTTTGACAGGAGTCCATCCTCGCTTGTGAAGCGCTCTTGCCAGGTATGTCTGTAGTGAACTCAGCCATTCAATTGACTGATTCACTTGGAAGGGGCTTCGTCGGTATCCCGATGTCTGCAAAAGAAGCAGCACGTTCCCTGAGTTGCGTCAGGAGCTCTTGAATGATACCTACAAGCACATTGCGGAGCAGTACGAGATGAAAGGCAACCTCAAGAAGGCCGAACATTACTACGTGGAGGCGGGCGCGATTTCTCTACCTCTGGCAGCTGACGAAAGGAGAGCTGTTTGGGCGGTCGAACGGTTCGCGAACCGCGGGGCAAGGGGACCGGCCAAGAACAGAATAGTAGCATAATCAGCATAGTCGTAGCAACACGGGCAACATGTGGTTGCACATTCGCTTGTGCGCGCATTCACGCACAGAGCTGGTGCGTTGGTTTTGTCATTTTCCACAAGTGGGCAGCGCATCGGCGCATCGCAGGCCAAGATGTGGACCAGCGCCATGTCCATGTACCGGCAGCTTGAGAAGTGGGAGGATGCCAAACGCGTCGCCAAGGCTGAGCCCATGTTGCACCGAAATTGGGAGAAACGGGGCGTTCATGAAGCTTCGTCATTGAAAACACCGGTGGTCACAGCGAAATGATATGCGCAGCGAAATGCAGGTTCTCTGGTTCTCTTGGAAATACTCAGCTGAAACGGGTGGACATGCGTCGGGTTGGCTCCTCGGAGCCCGCCCACAGACCAAGCGAGCTCGCTTCGGGGAGCAGCTTCAGCTTTTTGCGATCTGAAAACCAAAGGCGTGTTTTGCAAAGCCTAGTGAGACCAGACACCATTTGCGTTTGCACGTTTCTGGCATGTTCGCTGCACATCCTAAGCAAAGCTGGCGGAGTGGACTGACTTGGATTGTCCAATTGCCAGAGCCTCAAGCTGCTGTCTCCTTGCGGCCTTCATAGACTCGTGCAGGGTCAATTGGCAGCCGGGCACTTTGACTAAGCTTGTCCTCGCTTGGGCAGATGCACGGTGGCAAGCAGTCCTTCGAGAAGGTGGTGCTTGCGCAAGCACATGTAACCCTGGCATGTGGAGAGAAGCCTGGGTTTGAGGGTGAGGGGTAGGCTGAAGATGTAGCCATACTTGGAAAGGGTCACTTCTGTTTGTTTGTTTGTTTGTTTGTTTGTTTATTTGCGTTGCCTGCAGAGCCGGTTGGGTTGGTTGATTCTTCCAACGCCCCAGCGAACCTTTGCCACTCCTTCAAGTAGTAATTCAAATCTCCAGAATAAGATAAGCTCAGTGCAAACAATTAAAGTGAAGTGTTGTGCCTCACCCAAAGGTGAGGCACTGAGTTGGTGATCGCGCTTCTAATTCCAAAAGCGCCACAGAGGATCTTGCATTCTGGCCCTTCCATTCCTTGAGCTCCTCCCGTTCCACTTTTGTGCCTTGCAACTTTGCAACAGCCGAAATGTCCTGAAGGCTTCACAACCAACAAAGTTCTTGTGGGCTTGAATTTTTGGCAGGGCTAGCTTTTTTTTGGCTTTGGACCTCACTGTTTGATCATACATGGCCTGTTGGGCTGTGCAAATCTTGCAGCCGGCAGCCTTTCAATGGCTTGTCACTAGAATTCGAGCTGTCCACCAGATTTTGACCAGTATTGCCAGGCTTGCATTTGTTATCATCGACAAGCCCTCTTCGATGCTGTCCCTGGGTGCTTAGTTTCTGGGTCCCCAGGAAGCCAGCTTTCACCAGTTCGAAGCAATGCCCCGTCTCCTCCGAGACCCCTCCGTGTCAAAAGAAACCAGCAACTTGCAGTGCTGCAGGACTTCCCAACTCTAGCACATCCCCACGCCCCAGTCGCTCCTTTGTTTTTCTCTTGCGGGTTGCCGCACACCTTGCCCAAGAAGCTGGCCGCCTTCCCTCGCACGCCTCTCACATGGCAGGCGACTTTCAAGGAGCATGGTGCCGAGGTAGGGCCTCGGTCGGATGGGATGGGTCTGATCCTCAAAAAGGGTTTGACACGGTTTACGCCTTTCCAACAATCATGGAATTGGACAAGGCCAGTCTTCCAAGACCCTCAGGCACACTTCCATGATAAAGCGGTTCATTACGCCCCAGCGGGCCGTTTCCTTGCTCACCGAACGGCAACCAGGGGCTGGCTTGAATGGGAAATTTGCGGCCCCTCGAAGAAACCATGGCCTCGTCGTGTCAGGCGGGCGCACAGCTGCTGGCCAAGCATGGCCTCATCGAGATTGCGCCTGGCATTGAATAGAGGACCTGTCAGAGGTTGGGGAAGGGGGAAAGACAGGGGGGAAGATGGAACAAGAACAGGTGGCAACAGAGCCGTGGGAATTGCCCTCTTCTGTGATATCAATCAAGGCTTTCCGATTGACTACTCCATTTCAGGGGGACCACCCTTGGCGGTGCTCTGGGCACTAGCCCAGAGCACCCGGTCCAAAGGTTTCCGTCCACTCGGTTCCGATGCGTCTCGCGCATCTCGCAGCGTTGCATGTGACCAAGGCCATTGACTACGCCGTGGAGCATAGCAACTTCCAGCACGCGTTTGAGCTTGCGAACCACTCCGCCAAGCACAAGCTGCCGGACATCCACTTAAAGAAGGCAAGGGGTGGGTGACGCGGACCGGGGACTTGGTGTGCTTTTTGGTTTCGAGGCAATGTGGTTCTTGTTAAGATAGCAGGCTGGAACCTGAACAACTCGGACATGGGCCGTCTCACGTGTGAAAACTGGAGAGGAAGCCACGGATGCGTTTGACCTTCTCAGTTTCGTCATCTCGATGCAGTTCAAACTTGCTCACCACCCTCCACTGACTCGATCTGACTTGCATCACATTGGGAAACCACGGGTTTCTAGTGACTGGGTTGGTTGGTTGGTTGGTTGGTTGGTTGGTTGGTTGGTTGGTTGGTTGGTTGGTTGGTTGGTTGGTTGGTTGGTGGTTGGTCGGTCAGTTGGTCCGGTCAGCAAAAGGGGCACGGAGCGAGGAACATATTCCTAGCACGTCTTAGCCTTCACTTCACCTGATCCGTCTAAGCCAATATGAGCTCTACGCGCGGTGTTAAGACTGATTAACTGGCTTCGATCGAAGCTCGGGATTGAGGAGAGGAAGTACTACGCATGTTCACCGCCCTACAGCCCCCCAATCTGAGGTTTGACATTCCCTGGCGAGAAACGGCAATAGCGCCCGCCCTTTGTATTTGATGAGCAGCGCCCATCTACCAGACAATGTGGTACTGACACCCTGAACACCGATCATCATTTGTATCTCAATCTGCATATTGCTATGAATGCTCAAGGGGAACCCTCTCAAACATTGGTGGACCTAGCTCCCCATGTGACCTCATCTCCAAAGTCCCCGCAATCAGTCGGCCGGAAAAACTGAGGCGCTTGCCCTTGAGGATGACGAGCAGCGGCGGCCTCAGTGTGCCATTCAACTCTCATGTTGTGCGGTGGGAAGCCCAGTCAAAAAGGACCAACTCCCTTTAGTTTGTACTCTGACGGGTCCCTCTTGATGGTTTCCTCCAAACCGGAGGGACGACTTTGAAATTTTCCCAAGTCTTTCGAACGTTTTCCAACACAAAAAATCAGCAAAGGTTCCGCAGGAGCCCAGGGTTGCGCCTCCAGCCCAGGTTCAAGCTGGCGGAGGAGGAGTTCATCAAGGCCAGCAAGCCCAAGGAGGCCATCGACATGTGCGCCCAGGGAGCGTTTTTTTTGTTTTTTGTTTTTCTTTTTTCCGACGGCTTGTTCGCTGGTGGGTGGGTGGGGCGGGGGTGGGTGGGGTGCTTCTGAGGTTGTAGGGTGACCGGTATAGTGATTTTTTAGGGCGGCCTTCTTGGGAGTTCGCAGTTTGCTTATCGAAAACGAAGCGTGCGAAAACATCCGGAGATTCGAGGGCTGGCAGTTTGGCTTTTGGCCCCTGTGGCAGACAGAACTGTAAAATTGGCTGTTTGAAAAAGGCCGGCGGGCACACACATTCCGTTGGTTGGTATACAGTCCTTGTCAAATTCCAAAGTTGACATCGGTCAACATTCGAACCGTATGGTCCGAGCACTTGGCCTTAGGTACGTCCACCAGCGCGACTGGGTCTCTGCGATGCGCGTGGCCGAGGCAAGCGACTTGACCACAGCCACATCACATGGCTATGTTGTTCTGGGTGAAACCTTGCAGAATGATTGGTGGACATAAATCAATGGTGTCCACCAAAGGGTTCCCAAGTAAGTTTAGGCGGATTTCTATCAGCTGCGTAGTGGATTTGAGTAATTAGCCGGGATTCCATGTTTAATGCAAGACATCCACATCGGATTGACCTTCTCGGAGTGCAAGCTTCCAGATCTGACACTCCTTGGTCAACCTGGGAGAACCTTTGGTGCAATCGGCAGCCTGGGTTTCTCAGTCTGCGAAGAACGTGTGACTCCCTTTCAAATACATAAACCCCGGTGGGGGGGGGTGTCATTTTCCCTTCCCCTTGAGACTCGCTGGGCCCGACATTTGCCAGGCCTATGAGAGGGAGAGCTGCAAGGACGTTATGGTACACCACGCCAAGGACTTGGTGGACCAGAACAACATGCAGGACGGGCCCTGCCGCTCTCTCTCTCTCTCTCTCTCTCTCTCTCTCTCTCTCTCTCTATCTCTCTCTTCCTCTATCTCTCTTTTTCAAAAGCGGCACAAAGCAGAAGGCGGGCTCCCAAAACTGCGGTCATGGCACATCGCGGAGTTGGTCCGTGCCCAGGTCAAGGAATCAAACGGTTTGGTAAGGCCAGCCTTTCGAGCCAACTGCCTTGCAGGGAGCGGAGAACCTCTTCATCCAGGCCGGCAAGCCGGAGCTTGCGGTGAAGGCGCGGGCCCAGCTCGCATCAGTCTCTCCAGCTGTGAAAACGCCCACAAAGGCGGCAACCTCGTTGTGGCTAGGGTGTGGTATTAGTCAGGGGGCCATTTTTGTAGGGTTCCTTCATCCCCACGCCGAAGAAATGCAAGGAAAAGCAGACATGGGGCAGTCCACGCTTTTCCCAGTTGAGGTTTGTTCGAAATTGCAGTAGAACAGGACGAATGGAGACCCCAGCACAAACCTCCTGTCGCTTTTGCGGCCTTTACCATCCCCCGAAGCGTTTTTCGGGTATCTTCCGTGTTAATGTTGACCTTGGGTTTGGCTCAAGCCGTTTTGGCGTAAGTGCCTTTCTCGAAACTTGAGAGCGGAAGTGATAGGATCCGACGTATTCTGCAATGTTGCCTCAGACGAACCTGTGGGCTCTCTCGGGCCAGATTTGTGGAATGACTACCCACCTCGATGGGATCCTCGTCATTGTGATGCTCACGACGTGCCTACTCCTCTTCAGTGCTTTGCTGCGCAAATCGGCGAAGATGGTTGGTACGGGAGTGACTTTGACCGCAGTGCGTGTCGGGCAGCTGATTTGCTTCTTCGGGCACGGAGCAATGCGCAACATGCAGTGCATGCCAGGGCAACAGAAGGGCCAAGACTGCAAAGTCATTGCTTCAGAGAGGAAGGCCTTCGATGCTGGGTTGCCACTGACAGAGATTCTGGTGCCTGTGAGCAAGTGCGCAGACATTGCCATTTCTGGCGAAGCGCAACAGAAGTTCCTCAGAGCCTACAACACATATGGTCTGTGCGTTTTGAGTTGCGACACTTCCGAGACTTGTGATCTTAGAGAGCTCAAGGACCTGTTCGGCAGTATTGTGCCCCATGAGTTTGCCGACTCCGATGGTCGAGTGTTTCTGGATCCCCAGGCTGAGCGTGCCAGCAACAACGTGCGGGACACTGAGGCCGAGCACCAGGTGCATACCGACGAGACTTACACCGATGCTTTCGGAAAGGTCATCACATTGCAGTGCGACATCGCTGCAGATGAGGGGGGCGAAAGTGTGGTGATCTCTGCCAAGATGATGCATGACATGGCCAAGCAACATCTCACTGAGCACGAGATGGCTGCGTTGCGTGCCCCCTGCCTCTCAGTTGGGCGTGCGCTGCCTGGAAGCAAGGTCCACCACTGCTGCACCTTTCCAATCTTCGGTTCCAGTGGGGCTCACCACTCGCAAGTTCGGTACCGCAGCCAGGATCCCTACGTCAGCAGCATCACACAAGAGGTCGCGCCTGGCTACCGGTTTTGCGAAGACTTTGTGAAGACCAAGGATCATCGACTGATTGTGAAGCTTCAGCCATGTCAGGTGCTGGTGATGGATAACACAGCCGTGCTGCATGGACGCCTTCCCTTTCCCCCCGAACAGCGGAGGCGATGCATTCGCATCAATTACTACAATGACGGAACGCTTTCGTCCCAACTCAACTCTGGCTTCAGAACCAGAGACGTTGCGGAGTCACTAAAGTGACAAGATGAATTCAAGCCACGCGTGTGCGATGTATTTCCTCGACTGAGGATGCATTTTTCGCATGAATATACAATTCGGACAGGCTGCGCTCAGCGGCACGTTTCTGACTATTGCCTTTCAATTGTTGTGGCACTTGTGTAGAAGCGGCGCTTTTGTATAGACCCTTAGTAGTACAGCGGCACGTTCTTGCGCGAGGGAGACTGCAGATTTTGCAGCACAGCCTCTTCCAGAACCTCTGGACAGAAAGTTGACCTCGGATTTGTCAACTTTACAGATCTACCCGGCATCCCCCTGCAAAGTAAAGGATTCTTTCTTGAATGGGACACACGCAGCTAGGGGGTCCTTAAAATGCGATTGCTTCCTTGGGTTTTCCTTTAACACAACGCAAAAGGGCGCCCTCAAAAAGCAGCCGGGCCCATTCCTATTCCTATCATCTTTTGATCGGTTCTCTGGAAGCGCTTGGAGGCCTACTCCTCCAAGCGAATGGTCAATGAGGCCGTGCGGGTGCCTGCCTCAGGGGGCTGCACCTGGGGGGGGGTATCTCCACTTCTGGAGGGCAGCCCCCCTTTTTTGTTGGATTTTGGTGGAACCTTATGTCGGGACACCGAAATCAGGGTCCTTGCCCAATTGGGTCCTGTTTGATTTCCGATCTGGGGCACTGCTGTTGCAAATAATTAAATTTGAGGGGGGAATGGGGAAGCAGCTGCAAGCTGGGAAGCCGCCCAGGTTTGCAAGAAGCACTGTCCGCACATGCTGGGCGATGTCGTAGACTGCTACCCTGGGACCGACCAGCCAGGAGCAGACACGTGTTGCCCTTCCGCTGGAGGTATTCCAATCAAGTCGTCAAGTTGCATGATTGAGCACCGTTTTGAATGAGATGGTGAGATCGACCCTTTTTGCAACTCGAAGGGAAATCTGGGGGAAACCTCTGCCAACCCACGCGCGAGGAGGGGCGCCGCAGACCTTGGAGGAGATCTTGGATGCGGCTAAGATATATGAGGCGGGGCGCCAACGTTGACCGCAGGTAGACCTACAATGAGCAAGTTTTTGCCACTTCACAGGCAGTTTCGAAGCAGATCACAGATGGGTCTTGAGGGACGTGGTATTCTGGTTAAGAGGACAAGCTGGATTGACAGCAAAACTACAGCACTGGCACGGGTCTTTGTACCGTAGACTTATCGGAGCATCGCGTGAGTGCACATTTCTCTGCTTTGATCCATGCTTGTCAGGCCCATTTTAGTTTCTGACACAGGAGTTAGGAAACGCGGAGCCCCTTGCTTCCCCTGGCCTCGTTCTCAGGACACCGGCAACTACTCCCGGGCCATCGACACCTACCTGTCGGCCCGGGACTCATTCGCGCTTGGCCGTTGGCTCAGCTTGACCGTGGCCTAGCAGTTTGGTTTCTCTTCCTGCAGGTTTGCTTTCAAACAGACAAGAGGGGACCCTGCACGCGTGGTTCATTCGGATCCGGAAGTTGGGCAGCGCACGTAGGAAATGTCCAGCTGGGGATGCCTCTTTTGAATCTGAGAAGGACACCCGACGTGATGCATAGTTCCGTTGTCATGACAAACGATGTGCAGCCTGTGGAAATCAAACAAATCCCATTCCAGGGGGCTAGTGAGCTGGTGAGCTAGTGAGGTCGAGATTAGGAGTTGCTTGTGCATCCAGGGCAAGCTAGGATGGGAGTGTTCGTCCAGTTTGGGAGCCAGAATCAAAACCTGGACCCTGGGCGGTTGGGGGACATTTCTAACTACACAGAAATGAGGTGGCCTAATGGAGATTTTGGCCTTTGCTTTTGTGTATTCTTCCGGGTCCCAGGACCCCTGGTCAGGTTCCGCGATAACGGCTTGGCCCATCCCAGCCCCGACCTTTCGGCGCCAAGGACGCCAGAGTCTATTTTTTCCAATCCCATGCCCCAGAAGAAGAAAAAAAAAGCATCAACTCGAAGCATTGGTGTTTGCAAACTTGTCCCCACGTGTCCATCATATCCCCCCCGTTTGCCCGCGCCCGCCTGTGACCCCTAGGTGGACGAGAGCAGCTCTGCGGAGCCGGACCGGCTGGAGGAGGTCTGGGAGAACGCGGTGAGGCTGTCCATGAAGCACGCGCAGGCGAAACTCCGGCGGGGTGGACAGGTGAGTCTTTGCTGTGTGGAAGGAATGGGGGTGGGCCTGAAGTGGGGGTTTGGATGGCTTTTTGCTTTGTGGGTTGGGAGGGTTGCGGTTTTGGGGGGTGGAACGAAGCGCAGTGCAAGAGTGAAAGGAGCTCGATAGGAGGTAGAAAAGCATCAAGTTTGTGTGCTGAGAGGAAGGTCTCTCGTTTGAAGAAGGCCGGCCACTCAGGCGAGCCTTTGAAATCTGAACTCGGAAGGGGGCGATTGCTCGGTGCTTCTTATTCTGAATGCCTTCAACGTTACTCTGTTACTCTGTGTGATTTTACCATTGCTGAGCCATTCATGGTTGTTCCGACGCCAAGGATCTTGACCAAAGAAAGCGATCAGCAGATGTGACTGGCTCATGTGCAGTCCCCCGAGCGCCCTGCCAGGAACGGTACAACGAGATCGTCACCGTTGTGGCCAAGCGGCTGAAGCTGATCCGGCGATATGAGGCGGGCGGCTTTCATTGGCTCGACGGCTGGCGCTTGATTTCTGAATTTACTCAAGATATCTCATGGGCAATAAGCAGGAAGATAGCGCATTTGATGGTGTTTCCTTATCCATTGTATTCTTGTCCGGTGTTGTGCTTGGCAGGTGTCGGGTGCACAAGGGCCAGAAAGCAAGGGAAAAGCATCATTTGTTGCTGCATGAAGAGGCAGCGCAGTCAGATGTTTTGGATAGTATATGGTATCAGCTTCCATCATTTGTTGGACAGGAGTAGCCGAAGCCTTTTTTTTGGGTGTGTCCTCGTTGGCAGCCATTGTCAGCATGAAGAGCCGCCAAGAAGACAGCGGAACACTGTAACGTTCCCACATTCTCGCTGGCTTCATACATTTCAAGACCTGACAAGTAAGATATCAAGAACCAGTCGAACCACGGAAACCACCTGGTCAGGCAGCCGCGGAGCTGTACGAGAGCATCGACGCGGCACGAGAGGCGGTGAACTGCTACATCGAAGGGGAGGCGAACCGCGGGGAAAACGGCGCCGGATAGAGGAGGGGAGAAGACCCATGACCCCGCACACCCCCTGTTTTTGGCAGGTTTTTGAGTGGCATGGTTTGCATTCATTGAGGGTTTGGGATGGTTTGGGGGGTGGGTCCCATGTTTAGAGAGTTATCATTTGGAAGGAAGTCGGCTGGCTTCACAGGTTTGAAGGATTTGCATTGGTTTGGGGGCGTGTCGTTTTGTTGAGGGCACCTTATGGCCCGCCCTATGTGTGGTTGGGTGAAAGGAAAACCAAAGGAACATCGAAGCCTACTTTGTCTACCCCCCCCGTTCTCAAGTGCTCTACAAAGTAGCGGATATGGACATTTATGATTTCAACCGAAAACGCGTCAACCGACCCTGGTTGGAGAAGGGCAACTGTGACTGGTACTGCGAGAGGGTAGAGTTATTGGATTCTTGAATTAAATTTGTCGAGGGGGGCTATGCAGTGACCAAGAAGGAAGTTAGCTATTTTGAGAGGTCCAGTTTCTATCTATTTCGATCCCCCCCCTCCCTTCAAAGCTCACCTCTTTCGTCAAACCGTCCCCCGCCTACAGGTCTGGGACAAGGCGCGAATGCTGGCACAACAGCTGGCGCCTGATATGGTGCGGCTGGTGGAGGAGAGGCGAGCCGGGTGGCTGCGTGGGTGGTCAGGAGAATACACAGCTGATCCTCCCCAATGGTACACTTCACTTTGGCCACAGTTGCCCAGCGCCTTTCTTTGTTTGGTGCCTACCAAAACTTCTGATTGGTCGTTGAGCCTTTAAGGCTAGACAAGTTATATAATAAAGGCCAGCTTGGCTTTCATCTTGTACTCCGCTTCGTGAACCGCTGATCGAACGGTTGTTTGTACTGGAGGGAACCTCCCCTGCAATTGTCAGGTTGATGAGATGGGTCAGGCATTATCTAAGATGCTTTGCGCTCCCTCCCTTTGTATAGTGGCTTAATGGGGTAGTTGTACGTCCCATTGAACCCCTGCTTGCGTAGTGGTTTGAGGGTCGAACATCTTGGTGGACATAAGTCTTCTCTGAGCAGCATCAGCCACAGGTACAAGTCTGAGCTCGTGAACAAGGGCCTCTGCCCCAGGCGACCAATCGCATAATCCTCAGAAGTGAAAATAAGGGTCGCAAAGCATCTCGAAACACCAATGATTGTGCCCAGTACTTGATAAACGTCTGTCAAGATAATGGCGGAACGATGCTGTTCGCGCTTTGCCACGGGCCATGGTGGGTGGTGACAGAGTTCTTCTCGCTGGCGATGAGTTTTGAGAGCACTGGGACAATTAGGTGCCCCCGTGGTTTGGTGGGGTAGCGCAAGGATTGCTTTGTGCCAGCTTTTGGTGTCAAAGGCCCCCTCAAGAAAGCTTCCAGAGGGCTCGTCTTTCAACCCCGTCACAAGGGAGCTTGGACCGATCACCCCTCACTGAGGAGATGGAGATGAGCTCATCCGCCGCACTGGGGACGTCGACAGTGCGCCTGTCTGCCCAGCCGACTCCACCCCCGGAAGCAAGTCCATGCTCAGGGCACGCCGCAGATGAGAATTGCATGGTCCACCTGAAGAGGGGGTTAGGCAAGAGGGTGCGCAAGAGGCTTAGGGAAAGGATTCTTTGTGTCATACTCAGCAGTTGGGGGCGAGTAATGTCGCTACGGAGTGTTTGAAGCGAACGCTCATCAGAGGTAGCATGGAAGGAAGCAGTGGCAGACCCAAATTCTTTTGCTGGTTCTGTATTCTATTTAGGCCAGCAAGATATACGTAACATATTTTTTGGCACACCTGCTTTTGGGCCGCTGAGGCTAGACATGTACGCGCGGAACGGCGATTGGAGCAAGTGCCTTTCCTTGGCAGAGAAGCACAGTCCAAAGACGCTACCGCATTATTTGGTGCCTACCTCAGTCAGAACAGCAAACCACGGAATTGCTTGGTTGCTGTCAGAGAGGAGAATAAGCACTGGACCTTTCCGGGATTGAGCGCGGTTAGGTGCAGTACTGCAAGCTTCTGGCCAACAAGAGCGAGAACCTGCAGGCTCGTGGAAAGTGTGGGGCCTTTCTCGCGCGCTCCCAAGAAGGCATTTGGAGCGCATCGCGAAGACAGCCTCCTTTGCCCCGCAATGATGCCCCTGCCGGTAGGCCTGCCAGATGTTGGTCCGCTACGGGCCGCCACCGGAGCCCTCGAACTTTCAGCTCTACAAGGCGCCAGCGCTGGGTTGCCATTCCCTTGCAGCTAGGCAAAGCCCCAAACAAAATGGCCGCCCGGGGGAGGGTTATATACTGCAGCAGTGCCAGGTGATCCATGGCGATCTCCTGCTCGTGGCTCAGTGTTGCCAATTTGGCATGGCCGCAGCTTCAAGCACGGCCTTGGCAGCTTCTCATTCGGATACGCAACCGTTAGGATCCGGAGGAAAATCTGGCTTTGAGTGTTGATTGAAGTAGGGAACACCCTCGGAAAGGGTGCAACCGATTCGAACTCCAGGTCTGGGACCAACAGCGAAGGGCCCCCGCTGGTCCGGGAGATGCTGCTGCGGGTGATGACTCCTGCAGGGACCCTGGGAGGCACGGCTCCCGGCTGTGTGACTTGTGGAGTGTCGGGGCGGACGCATTTGAGAGATGGGGGGTTTGTGGGTTGGGAGGAACTTGGCGGGAGGGCTGAAAGGTGACGTGATTGAACAGGGATTTGAGACGAGTCTGTTCCTCGGCCCTGTCTCCTCCCAAAACTTGTTGGGGCAAGGGTTGCGGGCAAGTTTCGGGGAGATTCGAGAAATTCAGGGGAGCTAGATAGATTGGGGCGGTTTTGGATGGATCGTGAAATTGTGGAGCTGTCCAAGTCTCACTTGTCGCTTGGTTTGGACTCTGGGGTTTGCGCTCGTACTTCAGGACTTCCGTTGAACCTCGTTCCAAGAGATCAAGAGGGTCGAATCCTTTCGGAGGTGTGGACTCCCCACGGCCGATATGAGAAAGGGAAAACTGCGCCGTCAAGCAGATTTAGAAGGGCAATGATGGGCGACTCACGAAAAACAGCAAAAAAACTGGTGACTCACTGAAATGAAGTAAATGCTTCATATAGTAGTTCACCCGATTTTGACACATCATTGTGGCTGTGATGGAATAACTACACTCTTGGCGCGCATAATTTTGGCTGTGGGCCATATCCTGTGCCCCCGCAGCGCCTTGCCCAGCTCCGCCGACGCCCAGCGTGCTGGCGGAGGACCGCCGGCCCCAGGCGGAGTTTTTGAAGGCGCCGCTCGGTCGATTTTGCGTCGGCGAACGGAGACTGTCGGTTGGTTTTTCTTGGCTGGCAATACTTCTGCAGATCAACATCGAACAGGTGGCATCCAATCCGGAACTGAACGCCAGCCCACAGCCGCCACGGATCACTCCGGCGCCCGCTTGGGCAGCTTTTATTGCGGAAAACCTTGAATGGATGCTTGTTTGATAATAGCAAGCGCGCGAAGAACATGTGGCTGGGTGAGATCGTTGTCAGTTGTTCTCCGCTTTAAGTCAAGAAAACGTTCAGGCTTCGGCCAAACAAGTGGGTCTCAGCCCATGAATTCTTTGCCCAGCTGCCACAGGCATTGATGGCCGCCCACTTGCAGACGGTGAGACAAAGGCAGGGGGGGGGGAACAAGGGAACCCGAGCCACGCCTTGCGATGCCTTGGCGTGATGAACGGTTTGCTAGAGGGGACTAAGGGACCCATTGCAGGCATCAAAAAAGGAGCAAAAGGGTGGTGCAATGCACTCGCCCAGACCATCAGAGCCATTTCGAAGCAGCAATCCATAGCCCAGTGCGGGCCAATCGAATCTGCTTTCTTTATAGTTTCAGCCCAGTTCAATATTTGTGCACGTGTCAAACTAGTGGAACCCCTATTCAGAGGGTGGCCTTCCTTTTGGTTTTCCTTCACCCAGCTGACGACAAAATCCGCCCATTTTCTGGTGTCCTCGCTGCCCAGGCTGCAGGCGCAGAACATGGCCCCGGACGTGGTGGCGAGGATCAGCGTGGCGCTGTGCCGCCAGGAAGCCCCAGGTAGAATTGGGAGGGGACGGTTGCTTGAGAAGTGCCCTTGGTGTTTTTGAGTTTGTTGGGAATTGGGTGGTTTTGAGGTTGCTTTGAGGTTGTTTGAGGTGTTGTGCGGATTCCAATTGATCTTTGTGGGAAGTTGGATTCGAGAGCTGGTTTCCCCTGGAATTTGAGAGAAATCTTGCGGTTCTTGGTGCGCATGCTGGGGACTTCAGCTAGTCATTTGTTTTGGATGACGATAGGTTTCGTTTTCGCAGACATTGAATTTTCGATTGGGACTGTTCCTTAAAGTGCTTGCATCAGCAAAATGTTGTACACATCTCCTTTTGCTGCCTTTTGGGCTTCACCCACTTTGAAATTTCCTGCAAATAAACTCCAAATGGGGGAACATGATTAATTAAACGCCCTTTCCTGTGTGGGCCCCTGTCAGGCCAATACGACCGGAACTGGACAGTGAAAGGAAATTGCAATTTGCGTTTTCCAGGGCTGGAAAGGGCCAGAATTCAGGGGGGGGGCAGCCTTGAAGGGCCTTGAAGGGGGGTTCCCTTACAAGCTTGTCAAAGCATGTTTTTAATAGCAAATTGGCTGTTTCCGGTTAGCCTTTTTTGATTTCTGGAATGGCAACCCTTGGGACTATGAAAGGAGTTAGTATTGGCAAAAGTACTGGCAATAGCATTGGCAATGTACAATTTCGTTTGTTTTGGGTCTTTTGGCCAGGCCTTGTGGGCGCCTTGAAAGCAGTATTGGCTGAGAAAATTGGGCGTCTTCAATCAGGGGGGGGTTATTCATCATGTGCCGACATTACCCACAGCTCAACTGAATAGGTTTGAAACCGGCATACACCGTTGGTGGCTGGTATAGCCTGCCATCCGTAACTTTGAGTCTGAGGCTACTGCGCAGAGTTCCCAGTAGACCTTGCCTTCTACAATGCGGGCCTGGACTGCAAACAAGCAGGCTCGTTCCCAGCCAGGGCCAAGTTGCACAAGGGCGCAGCTGGGGAAAGTCGCGTTTCAGTCGTTTGAGGGTACCCTTTGACATGTGGTAGGAAACCAGCCCGCGGAATCCTGCATTAATTTTGAATCGGGAAAGCCACCAACAACATTGAGAAGCAAAATATAAGCAGAAAGCTTTGCACCGTTGTAGAACCTTTCCGTTGGCTTTGGTTTTTCTCCTTTGCTGGGTTATGGGCATGAGCCACCACCAAAGCGCATTCTTCTTCTTTTTTTCCCGGTCCGGGTGCAAACGGATTGTTGCCGGTGTTTTTGCCAACAAATCGCCGACGTCGATCCCTGGCTTCAGCTGAAATGGGACACCAGAAGAACCTTGCTGAGCCATGAAGGTGGGTGTTCACTTGCCCAGAGGAGATGCTCAGGCACGCTGAGCTATGGGGCCGTGGGGGCTGCACGTTGCATTGCATGGCCACGGGGATGAAGCTGTGGCCTGGGGCCATCCACCAGAGGGCGGAGACAGCAGCTATGTGCAAGAGCAGCTGAGGAACGCCGACACATCCAAGCAACTGATGGTGCTTTTGCTGCCATTCGTGAGACTGCGACCGTTATGGCCTGGCGTCATCCAGAATTTGGCGCAGACAGCAGCCAGGTGCAAGAGCAGCTGAAGAACAGGACATCCAAGCAATGACGGTGCTTTTTGCTGCCAGTCTTGAATCTGGGGCTCTCGTGACTCGGGGTCTTGCACACATGGGTGGAGACAGCAGCCAGGCGCAGGAGCAGCTGAGGAACGTCCAGCACATCCAAGCACTGCATTGCAGCAGCGTTTGCCATGGCCTTCATTTGCCAGATGCATTGTGGAATCTTCCGAACCAATGCGTAGACGCAATGACTATGTCCTGAGTGTTGCAAAGCTTGGCAGCGAGTCGCAGAGCCTGTAACTGTCCGTGATGCGCAATTGGCTGGCTGCTAGGGAAATGAGACGCTTCAGAGGCCCATCCCGTGCGCACAGGATTTCCTGATCTTGTGGCTCGTTGACTGCTGGAGGCAGCGCAAGCTGGGTACAAGTACGAGCTTCACAAGTTGAAGTTTCTGGAGAGAGATGGGCAGAGATCTCTGGCCCTGGCTGATACGCGAGTCGCTGACGTATGCTCGAGCTTAGTGATATGCATTCAAGTTCAAGTCTGGCACATCTCGCAGTGCTTTTGCCGCCATGCTTGAAGCTGGGGCTGTTCAGTTTACCCTTGTTTAGGTTGGTCAAACTGACCTGCGCCAAGATGGTCAACGCGTCTGGCTCAGTGGAAAACAGAAAAGTGACCGCGGTAGTTTTGGTTACGAGGTGGTGGAAACCAACATGAGCTCACATGTTCAACCAGACATTTGCAGGTTAAGAACAAAGATTAGGGTCAACCAGGCCGGGGCACCGCGTAAAGGGTGAAGCCCGAGAGCAACTAGCAAGCCTTCCTCCCCACTTGGCCCTTCGGATCGGTTTGAATGGACGTGTCTCCAACCATTTTTGGCTTGGAGATGATCTGGATTTGAGGCACAGCTGACGCTTGCTCAGGCCAGATTTGCCAGCGCATAATGCCGTGCGTATCTATAAGTTGGGAGGCAGGCTGTGCAGGTGGTGGGATGTGCTTGAAGTTTGTTTAGCGGTTTGTGGGGCAGTGGTGCCCCTGGCAGGTGCGGATACGTGCTTCTTGGAATGGTGGGCGAACTGAAGATGCTTTGATAGATGCTTTGATGAATTTGATGCCCTGCTATGACTTGACAAAGAAGCACTCACGAAAGAGACCCGGCTTTCCACAAAGTCCTTGCTTGACCCCCTCTTGAGCAACAACCAAAATGTGGCTCAGAGAAGGTTAGTCGGGTACGCTTCCGACTAGACCCTTTGAAGTTTTGATCACGGCAGGGTTGTCCTTTTCAGACTGTGCTGATCGACAAGAGACTAAGTGTCCCCCCCTTCAAAGTTGAACGAGTAGATGTTTCCTCTTGCAAAGGGCGGGGGTGGGCAGGCCACACAGGCCCGACAGGCATGATCAACATGTCCTTCTTTTTCTTGAACCGCTTCCTGGACATTGCGGACGCCATCGAAGACCCTGAGAATGCTGCCATCGACAACACGGACTTCATGGACACCGACATCCCCTCGCCCTACGCCCGGGGCCCAAAAACGCAAAGGCATCGCCAACTGGGCGTGTGGCAGGACCCGAATCACCTGTCAAACAGTGGGCTTATTCAGGGATGTGCCTGAGACAGAGCTTTGCTCGTATTGGGAAGTGATGCGAATGTCCTGGGCAAATCGAGCATTGCCAATGCGGAAGCGCTTGCTATGGTGCAGAAGGCTTGCAGGTGAAGTAGTTGGCCCCCAGGTTGGTTCCTTTAGGGGGAAGCAGCATCCTGTCCGATTCAATGCAGTACCACGCGTGGGGGAAGACTGGGTTGCGACTGAAGGCTTGAAGGCCTGTGTTCAGAACATGTGCTGGACACGAAAGTCCTATACACTTGGCTGACGTTCATTCAGTGACCCACATGGAAATTATTTTGATCATCCAGTTATAGGTCATGTTCCCTATGATGTGTTGATATCCAAGAGGATCACAATCAAGAGATCCTCCAACAAAATGTCCGTAGCACCAGGCACCGGAGGAGGTTTAACCAACGATGGCTCGCTTGCTTTGTGCCATGGCGCAGCGGCGGCCGGTCCACCTTCCACTTCGCTGGATGGCAGGTCGCCGGAGTTTATCCGGAGGTGCGGGCTCACTGAATGGATCCACCTGCGGCGGTTGCGCTTTGAGGTGTGTAGGATCTGGCATGTGGGAGTACCCCAGGCCCCGCGTTTGCTTCAGGACACTTTTGGGGTCAGCCCAGGGTGCCAGGATTTTTTTTTGACAAGCTGCACGAGTCAGGCCCGGAAGGGGAGATCATGGGCTTCGAAGCAGGAGACGCCCGGAAGCCGCGCGTGAAACTGCCCAGCGCCTCGCCCCGGAAGTGGTGACTGTTAGATTTTTCGACCTCGGGAGCCCTCCGACTTTGCCGCTTTCGAGGGAAGCTTTTTGAGGTTTCAAGGAGCATTGCTACCAGCTGATGAAAAACGTGGAAATGAAACTTAGCCGTTTCTGAGCTGTAGTGAATTCTTCTTTCCGGCTTCACCGGTGTTTTGTTTCGGCTTCTGTCTTTTTCAATCGTAGATGGCACTTAGCTGGGAAATGAAACTGAGCTGTTCCGTAGCTGTAGCGCATCAATTTCGTCCTCGCTTTTTCTTCTTCTTTTTTTTTTCCCCGAGCTGTGCCACTTGAGGCGGTGAGCTGGTCACCGCCGCCAACCCATCAAACGCCTTCCTGCGCTTTCGGCAGCGGGTGGCGCTGGAGGAGCTGCCGGAGGGGTACCGCCTGGTGGATGGCCAGAAGGAGACACGGGGCGCCACGGGTTCGCTTTCTTTTTTTACAGAGTAGGCTGCGGGTCAAAACCAACGGGATCCCATTTTGGGGTAGGTGCACCACTCTTTTTGGACTATTTTGGTGGGGATTGGGATGTTCACTGGGTGTACGGGATTTGAGCCATGGCCAGTAGACTAAACTCCAGGGGTGGTTGCTTTCCCCAAACGGGAAACTTCCGGGTTTAAGTCTGCCGGGGGGTTGTAAAAAAACGGAACCCTGCATGGGGGCAAAGTGGTTCTTCTTTTGGCTTTTCTTTCACTTGTTGCTGACACGGGTAGTTTCAAGAAGGAGACACCCTTGCAAGCAAAGCAGGGCCTGCAGAATGATATTGCTCCAAGTTTGGGTACCCAGATAAGCTATTGGGGAGAGTTTGGGGTGGCATGGAGTAGTCGTTGGAATTTCAAACTGGGAGGGTTCACGAGGCTTCTGAAGGTTGCTGTTGCGGATACCACTGGAGCTTATTTTTGTTTTTTGAAGGAGCCACTTGTAAAGGAATTGTCTCTTGCAAGGGAACCTGAAGGAATTTGTTGTTTGAAGGAGCCATTGTCTAGGGACGCTCGAGCAGGAAAGCTGACCCCACCACACTCCTCATGCTGGTCTTACTCGTGGGATGTGGGCAGACTTGCGTTTAGATGGCTTTCGACATGGGCTGCACAGAGCTAGGAGATGTTGAAGGGGGATGGATGCAGTATTCTGCTGGATTTTCTAGCCCTTCAAAGGGTCCACCACAGAGGCGGCTGCTTTCACGTTTGGTCGGCAGGAGCAGGAGCCAGCTCCACAGACAAGCGCCAGCCGGCGATTCTCCCCTGGGAGGTACGAGGCAATCACCCGAGGCTCGCAGAGCTGCAGAGCGAGAGGAGGAATTGCAATAGGCTGCCCATGCCGATGAACTTTGTTGCTTTCCGATCTGGAATGGATCCTATATTGTCCACCCAATGGAAAGGAGGAGGGATTTCCCCCAAACCAGGGTGACTTCGATGTGGGTATGGGTCAAACCTACACAAGCAGGGGAAAGCAGGTTTTAGTCCTTGGTTCCATTTACCAGGGCTCCACTCAGGGTACCTATTTTTGACCCACAGGCGTGTCTCATCTTCTTGGGGGCGGGGATGGATCATCTGAAGGGTTGCTAAAGGGGGCTTGCTTCCAGGCCCAAACAACGTGGGCGCCTATGCCTGGGTCTCGCGGAAGCTCCGAGCCCAGAGCCGGAGGAGCCGCGACGCGGAGTGACCAAAAGGCGCGCGCGAGCGAGGGGGACTCACGCGGGGTCTCAAATTTAGGCGACCCACAAGCTGGTTGACTTCCTTTTGGCTTATTCCCCTTAAAAAGACCGCCCCCCTTACTTGGGCAAAATCCTGCGCCAGTTGGGGGTGGTTGATGCCGGTGAAATCCATCCCAACAGCGAAGTGGATGGAATCCAAAGCAACAGTTTGTCACGCATCCGAGGATTTGGACCTGCCAGAGACCGGGCACATCTCCAACGACAAGGCGCTAGAGCTTGCCTGTTGTTGGCGAAGGGAAGAGGGGAAGGGGCTACACCGCTTCCTGTCGTGATGGCCTTTTATTAATATCCTCCATCAATCAATTGGAGGCATTTGGTTTTCGTCTTTCGTCAGCTTACATTGGGTCCAGGGCTTGCCTAGGTGGAGGAGATCCGGGACTGGGTGCTGGGATGGTCCATGGACCAGAGCGTTCAGCAGAGGATGGACATGAGACAATGCGACAAGTGCGGGGCCCCGGGCAGAACTTTTTTTTGGTCGACATGGGCAGAATATCATCGGATTCGGGATGCCTGTAGTCCTAAGGCCCTGGGGTCCTTTCATCCATTCCAGGCTCCAAGAATACCCTGAGTTTCATGGTTTAAACGGAAGCCCAGAGGAACATCACCCTTTTTTTGCCAGCACCACCGAGAAGGCGGTGCTTGGATGGCTCACGGCAAAAAGAAGCTGATTTTCCACAGACCAAGCGTTCAGTCGAAGACCTTCGTAATTTCTTGTGTTCCCCGAAGTCCTGCGGGACATGCAGCGGTTGCTCGATTGAACTGGGCGACCCAAGCGTCAGGTGCGCGTCGCAGATTTACACTGGCACGCTCACCTGCCAGCCGGCCCCTTACTTGAAGCCCAGGTTCGACGCCTGGGCCCACCAAATGGAATTTGGCACGGACGAGTTTATCCCTCCATCAAAGAGCACACAGGCCTACATGGGGCCACTGTGAATATTCGTCTAGCTTTGGAGGGTTGACGTGGGTCTTGGGCAACCTACAAAAGGCTGTGCTGAGGGTGTCAAGCCTGAAGGTTTCCCTCAAACGTCAGAGATATACGATTGCGTACTGAATTCCTTGCACCTCTTGGCTTTTTCAATCTCCACAGCACACATGCCCACCAGCGTGAAGACATGGCGGAATGCGATTTCAGACGTTCGGATTGAGAATTCTGGGGACTGGGGGCTCAAGATTTGCTGGGAAGAGTCCTGATAAATCTTCTTGGTTCTTGGCGCACTGGAGCTTAAAAGCGCATTTAAGCCCTGTAATAACAGTTTCACAAGTCTGCAAAGCTGGTGGACTGCGGTTTCAAGTTACTGAGGCGATGTGCCACGGTCAGCGACCCATGCGTTTGGCCCTTGGCATGCAGTCGATATGTTTGCCATGCTACCGAAAGCTGGACCTCATGCCATGCATCATGAGCTTACACAACTCCGGGGAGTGTTTGAGCTATTTTGAGCTCTATTTCTCCGCGAAATCAACTTAGACAGGAGAAGGAGAGATGCAGAGAGCGGGACAGCGACATGATTGCTGCAGGCAGTTACAGGCTTCCCGGTGATAAAGAAGAACCGCGTGGAGTGCACGGCCGGGCTGCTGGGAGGGGGTGGGGTGTGACGGTATGGCATGGGTTCCAATCAATGTTGGTTGGTAGTTGGAAGGCTTGGATTCACCCTGAAACTCCGACAATTCGATTTGTCGGCTGCAGGCTTTGCAGTGCACCAGAGCGCTCCTTTTTTCAACACCTTGCCACGGTGGCTCCGGGCCTCTCGATCTCTGCTAGCATGCTTGGAGGTGTGCAAAGTCGCGGCCAATCGCGACGACTGGAACGTGTTCGTGCAGCAGTTCAAGGCAGAGCGGGGAGATGTCAGCCAGTCAAACCAAGTGTGTTCTGAGCGGTTGCAGTGAGACAAATTTGCGTGAGTCAGAGGCAGCTCCCTTCTGGGCTGGTGAAAGGGGTAAGTGAAGGGTAAACATTGTTGAAAACGGCCAGAATGAGTTTTGTATGCTGTGGGACCTGTTTAGAAACTGCCCGCGAGGGGCTGCTTTTGGGTCAACCTTTGAACAAACTATGCCAAAAGCAGAAGCTGCTGTGGAATCGCAAATTCGGAAGCCTTGCGTTTGGATGCAACCGTCATTTGTTTCGGCTTGATCTTGGGGGATTCGGTCAGTTGCTCACAAGGTGAAGTCCGTTACTTCCCTCAACCGACGCGTGGCTCTGATTTATGGAAACCTCAGAAGTGTTTGGTGCACAATTTTTCCCACCCAAATGACAATTCCCCACCCCACGGGTGAACAACACATCTGGTCATACCAGTGGGCATTGAGGTTCCCGCTGCATTTTGGCCTTGCCAGGAGTGCCCGTGGTGCTCATCGCCGCAGAATGCAAAGTACTGAGCTGGCTGAAGAGGCCACCCCAGAGCCAAAGGCTGGCTGCTGTCTTCAAGAAAAGCCGCACCTTGCGCGAGAAAGCTTTGATTGAAATTAATTCAGGTACTCGTACCAGACACAGTTGTTTACCCTTCTTTACCCGTGGCCACTGGAGTTTGAACTTGAGGTTTTGTGCAACATTGCGGAATTTTCTGCAGAGAGCGGCCAACTTTTCCCATCAGTGGGCTCTGGCCAGCCGGAGCCGGGGCTGAAGATAGTCCTTGCTGACTGGCTCAAGTTGGAGAGATCACCCTCCCCTAGGCTGGCGCTGAAGCCACTGGATATCCCAAGCAGAAAAGTCACTTTCTGAAAGGGTCCGTGAGCTTCCGTGTTCACCTAAGGCAGAGTAGCTGCACACAAAGTGGTGAAATACGTGGAGGCGTCATTTGGCTGAGCCATCCATCGGGCGTCACCCTCAATTTCAGAATGCAACTAGCAAGCTCGTCCAGACAAACACCGCGTCCCCCAAGTGCGGAACGGGGCCTCCTGGAACATGCCACAGTAGTTCGAAACTTCACCCATTGCATGCTGGCAGCTTTGTCCGCTGACCGCTGCCCTTGTACAGAGAGCCCAGGGCCCCGCCCTTTCGAGTGAAGCATCCACGCCCGTTGCATGAAAAAGGGCCGCACGCGGCCGCTCTGGAGCGGCCAGAGGCTTTGGGAGTCAGAGCATCTTCTGAACGTGGGTTGTTGAGTCGGGGGCTGAGGCGAGGCGCAAGTGGAACCTGACTCGTTCCGAGGTTCTGTCCAATGGCTGTTCTGCTACAGCATCCATGGAAATCCTTGAGGTGCTTCATCTACCCATCGACTGGGAGGTCCATTGGCAAAACGGGGGGCACTTGTCAGTTGGAGTTTCTTGACTTCTGGAAGGTGCCGCCCACTTTGAAGGATTTTTCCCTTTACCTTAAGATATGGGCGGCTTAACTCCTCCGTTGCAGTAAGATACCAAGGAAATTCCGTTTAAGGTGCCCTGGAAGACCTGTTTTGGTAGAGATGTATCACTAAGCAACATATCTTCACCCATGCTCGCCTCCCAAGTCCGCCTTGCCTTTCCCAGAGCCGCGCTTGCCGCGACCTTTCGGCTTGCAGCGGTGCCTCTCGAAGGGAGCACAGCCGCGGCACGTGACGAGCGCCGAGTTGGCCGGGGGGGCCCAGGCACAGGCAGCCCACTGTTGTTTTGACAGGGGGTCTACTACTGGTTTGATGAGGCATGAACAACAAGGCCTGCACACGCCCTCACCATTTCGGTAGACTTAGCAGTCTATAGGATTTGGCCCAGCACATTGACTTTGTCTGCTGCCAAATCTGTGTGGTCCTGGTTTTGGACCACGCCCTGCATCAATAGTTGCTTGCTCTTCTCACGGCGCCCTGAAGAAGCAAACAAAAATACAGTTCAACTGGGTCAGACAGACCAGACAGATCTAGCGAAAATGCAAGTTTCTGCCCTTGAGCCACCCAACTTCAACAACTACAGACATGAACACCCAAGCTTGGGATATTCTGGCGAGCGTCGAGCTTCTAAACTTAATTTTAATGATGATAGCGATTGCGCATTCCTAACCACCCTTCCTGCAGTCGCATATCCCAAAAAGAGCCAACACGCCGTTTTTGAAGCGATGAAGCTGATAGCTTTGCAGTTTGGTGATGTCAAGCGAGTCAGGTGGCCCAACAGAATATCAAACAGGATTGATTTGAATTTTCCACTTACGGCGAAACTTGAACCCCGCCCATCCCCAGTCGTTTGCTTCTGATCCCCGAGGGCGATGTCGGAGCCGCCCGGGCCCGGCCAGGCGCCGGGGGAGGGGCGTATGGCCGTGCCATGTTCGAGCTCAAAGCGCAAGCTGATGTGAATGGCTGAGATGGAGTCAGCATGACAGGATTTTTGCACGTGCATGCCTGATCGCCTGATCGCCTGATCGCCTGATCGCTTGATCGCCTGATCGCCTGATCGCCTGATCGCGATAGGCTGGTCATCGGGGTGCCTTTTAAGGTGCCCTTGCCCCATTGCGACCCTGAGCAAAGATCATCCCATGACCATGGACAAAAGGGCAGCTTTCTGGACCTATGGGAACCTTTTTTTTCTCACGGGGTATGTTGGCCCAACATTTTTTGTTGGCTTCGCCTCAGCAGGATGGAGAAGGCGAGGAAGACCTAGACGATGCCCGGAGCTCAGCTCTGGAGGGGGGCGCCTCTAGGAGCGGACCCGCTCGGGTCATTGAAGTCCTTGGTGTCAATGCGTCGTTTGGCATAACCGGGTTGTGCATACCAAATGGCCATGAGCTGTGTTGCAAAAGGCTCTTCATCATCACTTGACAAGAGGAGCGCCCAACAATTTCTTCAGACGAGGCGGCTTAGTCGGCACGCCTTCGGGGTGCGATCAGGGCAGATGCACAACAGAAGGTAGCACATCGAATGTTCAGACAAAAACAATAACCTGCGCTCCCGTGGGTCCTGAGTTTTGGATCCACACCCAGTTGAAGGTTGGCTCCCCTGAGAATCCAGTACCCTCTTCGGAGGTGGAGAGCCCCTTCCAATGTTGCTTGATGACATGCGCACGCAAGATTTACCATGGGGACTTAGCGCCCCCGATTGATTTTCCTATCTTTACATTCAGCCACAAAAGTCAAGTCTGATTCCGCGGAAACACGCACAGCAGACACCAGGAGGGACCATGGACCACTGCCGATAGCTGACCAAAAAAGGCCGCCCCAACGGTCAGGGAGCCAACATCATCCTGTGCCAAGGGCGAGTTCCCGTTTCTGAAAGCCGACCACCCGGCCTACAAGCGGCGCGGAGCCTACCAGAGCATGACTCATTGTTTGGGTGATGACCTGTGTTCTATAGACATAGGGTACAAGGAGGACGCCACTAGTTCGTGCAATTTATCGCAGATGGCTGGGTTGGGTTGGGTTTGGCTGGGTTGGCTGGGTTGGGTTGGGTTGGGTTGGGTTGGGTTGGGTTGGGTTGGGTTGGGTTGGGTTGGGTTGAGTTGAGTTGAGTTTGGTTGGTTGGTTGGTTGGTTGGTTGGTTGGTTGGTTGGTTGGTTGGTTGGTTGGGTTGTTGGGTTTACCTTGAAGTCTCGTAGACACTGACTCCAGAGTGGATGGGTCAATTCCCAGATATGAAGCCCTGCGGTGGGTCTGTTGAGGGAGCATCCACTGCCGGAGCATCTACAGCTCGGCCGCATCATTATGAACTGCCAACTGAAAAACTGCAACCCTGGCTGGACTGCAGGGCTGTCTAGCAGGCATTCTTTTCGGATTTGGGTTTGTCTCAAGGCCAGGCAACGCAAACGGGGTGGTCAAAAAGGCTACTGTCAAAAGCGATACCCATTTGAGGTTCGGTCAAACTATCAGCTGGTGAATTTGGGACGGATCTTCGGGCACTCGTGTTTGTCCCCAACCGCAGCTCCCCCAACCGCGGCCCCCAACCGCAGCCCGTGCTCAGGCTGCAAGAAGCCTGGCGAAAGCAGCTGACAGGCCACAATGATCGGGTGACCCTCCAGCTCCGAGAGAAGCAGGAGGAGAGCGAGAGCGGGGCCGTTGACGGTCTTCACTGTTATTGGCAAGTTTTTTGGCTCTCTTCATTTCTAGTAGGGCGCTGCAAAAAGCATGGTTTTCTTGCTACCATACAAAGGGTAAGGGTTGGGAAGTGGTGCTTTCTGTGATATGCCAGGGATTCCCCTTGAATGGCCCATTTTGCGATGGCCCATTTTGGCAAAGCAAATACGGGCATGTGCTTTTTTCGAGGGGGAACCAGTTGGGTGGGTTCAAAGGGAAACGGGGAAGCTGCACATTCGGAGGGTTCCCAGCTCGCCTCGCAGCATGCGTTGTGTCTTTGCTTCAGGGTACCCCTCTTTTGGTTTTAAGGGGGACACCCAGAGGGAAAATATCAAGTTTTTTGGGGCCCTAAAAAAGAGACATCCGTGCTTTTTGCTCGCCGTGATGTGATTCAGGATGTCTCATTGCGCATCATGGCCCTCTGATTGCCGGACTGTATGTTACTACGTCAACTGGTTGGCCAGTCAGTGTGCTGGGGCTGGCGAGCGTTCGCCAGAGTTGCTCCAGCGCTTTCCCATGGACTAGGGGTGCTGTGACATTCCACGGTGTTTCCGACCGAACCACCCGCTAGTTGGTAGCTCGCTCGAGTTCTGCGATCCGAAGCTTCCCCGCATGAAAATCCTGGCAGGAGCTTAAAAAGCTGGTCAAGCACCGGGAGGACATAGGCTGGCGGGGGTGGGAAGGGACGGTGCTGTGCAGTAGGTGCTGAAGTCTGGGCATTGCGTAACCTGACTCCAATTCAATACAATTACAAATTGTGCAGGTGCCTAGCAGGACCTCAGCAGGACCACAGCATGTTCTGGCCAATATTTCAATGCGCAGCCAGTGTCTTTGGTTGCTGGAGCTGGAGCCATGTGTACCCGAACACATCATGGCCTCTGGCCTTTGTGTGAACACAGGGCCAACTCAAGACAGACCGCCCGAGTCGCCGGTAGGTGTGACGCTCTACGGGGCGCAGCAGCAGCTCGCGAAGCTGCAGCTGCAACTCGAGCAGCTCCACGACAAGCCGCGGCCCCGGAGGGTTTCGGCCCGAGAAAGGCCTGGGAGTCCGGGAGGGGAAGCTGGGAGGGGGTTGAGGCGAAGGCTCCGACCTATCCGCCAAATTGTTAGAAGCCTTCGCAGATGGGTTGGTTGCAACATGTCGAACACGAACATCCAGACCCTGCCGCGTTGAAGGGAAACCAAGAAATGAGCTTGTTTTTGAACCGTGTTTAAGCAAGGTGTTTGGCCCAACCACAACTGGACCAAGGCAGGCGTCCATTTTCCGTTCCGTACACGCTGTTGATGTTGGATTTGCAGCCTTGGCGGCAGCTTTTTTGAGGTTCAGTGGCGACTTTGTCCAATCCGAAAGAATAACATAGTCATGCATAGATTTGGATCACGTCGCCAACCTTTGTACTTGAAGCTGGGTCCGAATCATGCAAAGTATGATGTAGAATTCAACCTATGTAATTTCTGGTGTGTCCTTGTTGTTTGTGTTTGAAGCTGTGGGAGCCTTTTGGATCATGGCAGCCTTTCACTACCACTTAGCTCTAACTCCTGTAACAAGCTCAATTACTGGACCGTCCTTCACACGGCACCGGATCTGCAAAGCAGCTTGAGTACCATTCAACAGATCATGATCACTGTTCCTTTACCGGGCAATCACCACTGTTCAATCGCCAGACTACTCTTTAGACATGAAGCCCAAACAATGTCATTCCAAGATTGTTCTTTTTTAAAGTGCCTTTTTCTGGCCGCCCTCCCACGCTAAGTTCCAAATACTGTAGGTACGCCATGGTGCAGGGCCAGCGATTAGAGGCCGGGATTCGCCCGGGAATGGGGGGCGTGGGCCGCGCGGAAATGTACTTTGGGACCTGCGTTTTGCTTCTTCGTTCAAAGACACAGGACATGGCCATAGGACGAGCTGGCCAGCCAATTGCTCGCTGATTCCGTTCTTCAAGCGAGCCCTCGAAAAACCCGCCTCTCAGACTTGCCCCCAAATAAGCCCTTTACCTGTGGTAGACCAAATTTGCAAGACACCTGGCACAAGGAAGGTCTCTAGGCAAGGCCCTCAGCGAGACAAAGACAAAACGTGGCTGGTCTTTGGTAGCTCTCTGGCCCCTCTAAAGGCGATGATTGATGTTTTTCGCACAGCAATGGGTCTGCCTCCGACTGGCATATGGTTTCTGTTGAAGCAAAACTTAAGCCAACGCCCAGGAATGGTACCTACCAACTTCTTGACCCAGAACCGAACCATCCCTTTTGTTTCAGTATTCAGTATTATCATCCCTCGAGAGCCAGCCTTCCTCCTTCCATTCACCAATTCCATTCCTCACCCCAATTTCGATCAACTCGGCCAGGCCGCCTTCCATTCGCCTTACCGAGCCCCTCCATTCCTGCGATTTCGAGAAAGAAGTCTGCCAGGACGAGGAGCAACTGAAGAAGGTCACCGGCGACTGGGACGGCAAGAAGCTGGAGGTCGAGGAGGCCACCCGACGCCTCGCCAAGTCCCAGGACCCGAATTCGGGATGGGGGGATGGGGGGCGGAGGGCGGTGCGAGTGGTTGCGGATGCTTCCTTCCCCCCCCCAAATCGGTTGGTTTCCCGTAGAAAGAGCTCGTGTCCTCCTAGTTGATAGTTCCCAGTCCTCGCCAATCGATAGGTGGACTCAAAGCCAGCTGACACATCGGGCATCAAGATGACCTACTGCTTTGCATGTTGCTGTTGCAAGGCTTTGAGGATGACAATGGGCACCTGGGAGGTTGTTTTTTGCACTTAGTAGCCCATTTTTTGGTGTGGGGGAGGAGGGCTCAAAAGTCATACTGCCAAAAGCCCAGCTGTTTTGCACTTCTACACCTGTTTGGAGCTAATGACTTTCCCGGCCTACCAAAAGGTAGTTGCTTTTCTATTGCCAGGAGGTCCATGGTCCATGGAGGTCCCAAGGGAAGTCGCGGCTCGACCTTGGGACGAGCAGCTTTCGCCTTTCGCCCAGGACGAGCTGAATCAGCTCAACATCACTGTGCGCCAGGCGGGCGCCCGGGAAGATGCAGGGAAGCACGGGAATCAAACATGGGGGGCTGCCTGACTCAGCATGGGGGGGGAAGGGAGCCAGTATGAAGCATGATGAAGCCAGCAATTTTCAGTACTTTCTATCTTGACACAAGCCAATGAGTGCTAGATGTGTATCAAAATCGCCAAACTCAGATGCTTGGAAGGGTGGTCGTGTAGCGTGCTGCGTGCATTTTTCAGGGAATGTTTGTGGCCGTTTGTGACGATTTATAAGTAGCAAAAGGGCTCCTTTGGGAGCATTGTTTTGTGTGTTGTTGGGGATATGGCATTGAGTGACAACGCTGGAGAGTTCACGTTGCAAGGGTGTTTTTCACGTTCTCTAGGTATTGCCCAATGATGGGCCCAACGGCTTTTTGAGAAAAGTTTCTCCCATGCTCTTGTCTTTGCTTGCTGAAGAAGCCACCCCTTATTTCAGCGCCTTCTGTTGCACGCTTCTCTGCGACCTGCGCAGTCCATTTGAAGCCCAAGCTGCTGCAACTGACAAGCATCAGCCTCTCTTATCGTGCGCAATGCCATTGAACAGAGCCAGGCGCACTGTCTTTGTCATTACAATCATTTGCGCTCTTGCGCTTTCGGCCCCTTCCGCCTCCTTGGGAGATGTGTTTAAAGAGCACCTGAAGGCGGCGCTGGAATTTCACGCGCATTGCAAGGCTCAGAAGGCGCTCTTAAGCGAGGCCATCATTGAGGCAGCCTGGGGTGATCCCAGATTCGACATGGACGACGAAGACCTTTGCCAAGCCAGGGCACTGCTGGAAGTGCAGGAGAAAAGGCAGCGAGAGGAGCATTCCAGAGGACGACATGGACGACCATGAGAGGCATCCATCATGCCAGGACATGATTTAGGCAGCCTCTGCCTGCGTTTTTTTAAGAGGTTGGCACCGTGACCCTGTTCGCAAGGGGTGCCCATGGAACACAAGCTTCTGGGCCAGCAAGCCAATCAGAGCTTGCGTCTTGCTTTTAAAAGGGAGTTAGCTCTTACCGGGCAACCCTTCTCCTTGGCAAATTTGGCGTTCGACGCTAACTTTGCACCGGGAGTGCGTTTGCGAAGTCTTCTTGGCAAGAAACTCGCACCTGTACGAAGTGGGAAGGCTCAGAACGCCCACGGAAACTCATGTTGCAGGGATCGAGTCAGAGCAAAGGATCCCAAATCAAGGACCTTTGAGGATTAGAAACATAGAGCCCCTCTTTGTTCAGAGGTCTATGATGTCCGGTTGGCTGCGTGTCTTCGCATTTGCCGCGAGGTGAAGGAGTACAATGAGCAGATGAAGGCGGAGATCCAGGTGACACGGCGCGCCACCTACAAGGCAGAGGCGGGGCCTGGATCGGCCCAAGGCTTTTGTACTTGGGGTTGACGGTTGAGGGGTTGAGATGGGGATGAGGAAGACTGACCTTGAACTGTTGTCGTTTGGCCGTTCTGAAACTGGAAGTTGACAGGCCTTTTGGCCTTTGAAAGATGTGGAGGTTTCGTCGTGTTGCCGTCGCACGAATTCGGCACAGAGCACGTCTAGGACCACATCAAGCAGATGGAGGAGGTGAAGACCAAGCAGGACCTCCTCATCGACACGATGAACGAAGACATCAAGCGGCTCACGGAGCGCAAGGTGAGCTGGGGATGGGAAGTGTTGGGAGATTCGTGCTGCGAAGGTGGGCGGGCAAGTTATTGACAAAGTGAAGGCCTGTGTATCCAGGGATGTTCGTTTCAGGTTTGGTGACACATGAGTCATCAGCCAGCCAAATATCGACACTTCAAACCAGCTCAACGCGTTGCTATTTTGAACACTAGGATGGGCTGTGTCTTTCGATTGGAGACCAACCAGAACTACACGGAATAATGCATGTTGGCTACAGGTTTGAAGCGCAGGATGAGCTGAGACCTTGAGATTATTTCACTGTCCGTGATGCTGGTCAACTTGCCAACCTCATTGACCGGAGATGAAAAGGAACAACGCCCCTGCTAAGAGCTGACCAGCACCGGCAACGATCGGCCCACCCAGCCCAAACCGAAAAATGCACACGTTGAGTGCCGCTGTTGCCTTGTGCTGCCATATCCAAATCTGGCCTTCTCTTTGCCTATATATCCTATTCGTGCCTGTCTTTGTCCGTGTTCGGCTCTTGGCTCCAGGCGCTGTTGGACGCCCAGATCTCTGCGCAGAAGCAG